CGTAGATAAAATTCGATTATTAAAGTTCCATTATAACAATTTTATACGGTTACTGTAAATACCGCCCTCACATTTAAAAAAAAACATTTTTTGCCCATAAATTACCGGTGGGTAGCGTCCTCTTGAGAATCAATGTGGGTAGTAAGAATAGTAGATTATTTTTCTGTATATGAATTCACGTAAAAATATGATTTAATACTACATTTTTTTTTTAAATATTGTTTTTAATTTTACAATTTTATGACATTTTTTTAAAAAAACTTCCGATAGCATTAAGTTTATCAGTAATTTAAAGTAATTAAATACTAATAATAATAACATTGTATCGTTTAATTTCACAATACAATAATTTGATAGTGATAAAAAATAACATGTTTGCTTTTAATTTAATCGCGAATGCTTTACATTGCGATGACCTTTGCTATGGTAAATATTTAAGTTCCCACGTAGACCACGTGGTCTATGACATTGTTGTCCCGTCACTCACTATCTATCTGGTGCTCAATATTTGTTTAATAATTGTTTTGATTGTGAATTTTGTATTATTATAATGTTAATAATTTAAACTTAATTTAAATCCTTTTATCTGTTTCTTGGAAATTATATTATATTATATACACAAAAATATGAAGTTATAAAAATAGGAAAAAATGTAGACCTGTAGTGAAATATGTTTGAATATTTACCTAACATATTCAAATTGTTATTATTATGTTTTTTGTTGACACAACAAATGAGAATAGATATAAATATTTTTGTTTTTTATTGGTATTTGATAAGCTAAACTCACACGAACTATGAACGATGACAGTTGATAAAATTGTAATTTATAACTGGGCCACATTAAAATACACGGATACATTCGACCTTTTGGAATACATATTGATATAGAATTGTTGGACCACGTTGAGTAGAATTTTAACTTACATTTGAAAAGAACAGTAATGGTAAAAAGAAAATAACGAAAGTTTATTTTTCATCTCGTGCTATGAACGTTTGTTTTTGCAATAAAAAGTATATTATACAATATTTAAAAAAAAGTTATAAATACCTATTATTCATAGACAAATAAATTTACCATGATTTCATCATATGATTGTAGGTGATGAAAATGAAATATCGAAATAATAAATATATTTTTATATATAGCATAATTTCTTAATAGTTTTAGTAAAGAAATTAATATTTAAAGTTTAAACCCTTAACCATAAAAATAATAAAATCTATGCGTATAATGTTGCCATCTTTAGCGCTAACTGATTATTAGTTAGCGAGAAGTGTTTTAATCTAATACCAATAACTTATAACTCGCAGTTGACCATAATTGTTTATAAGTAAAATACAAATTTTCTTGTTATCTGATTTAATTTAGTTTTCGATAGTTTTTTGGTGTTACAAAAAATCACTTGCGTTGTTATTTTTATCAAAACAGCTACTGCGATTTATAATGTATTATTGTATTTCTAATGCGTCAAATAAAAATCATCTGTCTCAAAAAAACCAAGACAAATGTCGGGTTTTTTTCATTGAAAATAAAACAATAGACTTTACATACATAGGGTATATGTGATTTATAGCGAAACGCCGGAGGTTGTATCTCCGCACGTAGTCTTTATGTGTCCACTTGCGTGTTTACTCTTTCTCATATGGCATACCTACATTCTCTTCGATAATGAGATCTTTATTGCCATTTTTCCCGCGTTTAGCATACATTCTTTAACGGGTTTTACGGTTGCATATATTTGAGCGACGCATAAAGAATAAAGATTAAGCACGAGCGCCTCGCTATCATTTTCTCAAGTCCTTAAACTTGCCGCATCCCGCTGATTTCTCATTGTCATTTGTACACTACACTATTATATTATTAAAGACCACCGACAAGGTCATGGTTGACAGTCTTAGCTTTCGAACGGCGGTAAAGCGTGTATTATATTTGTCTATGAACCACGTGGGCCTTACGTTACTACAACTAAAACTAGTTTATCCAAAACCAATAACTTGTACCGAATATGGTCATAATATGGCAGCCTTAGAAAATGGTGCACTCGGTTTTAAATTCGTCGTTTTATCAATTATTGATTGTTTCAATAATAACTAATTCACTTTTGTCACTATATATCCTTTAGTGCGGGTAAATAGCTTTTTCACATAAACCTATTGAATTCGTATGGTTAAAGTAGATATTAGATTTCGTGTTGCAACAGATTACCATAAGTAAATAGTGATGGCCAGCAATTGTCCATTACAATATTATTGACTAAGAAAAAGAAGTGGCGTCTCGCCGTTTGTTTATAAAATGTACTACTACATTATGTTAATTTTGTTGAAAGCTTGGATTTTACCACGCACTAAAATTATGTTTGGTAACAATTTGAAAAAAAACAAATAATACAAAGAAGAAGTTATTATAGCTTTCATGATCGTTACAAATGTACACGAATTGTAATTTACTCGCCACTGTAGGTAATATGTATATTATCGTTATTTTGTGCGTAGTATAATTTGGTTATTACACTCGTATCACGGATGTCGTCGTCGACATGGCTAGCCGAAAGTCCTTGACTATGGACCACCAGTCCTGGACTATGGACTGGTAGCCTGGTGGCGACCGAATAAGTGTGTATATTGTACTCGACTATAAGAGAGCCCGTATGATAATGTCCTATCTAATGTAACACCTAGGTACTTTGGGTGGGTGTTGTGTTTAACATTGCATCCATTTAACATGACGTTAAATGTATCGTTTGCCTGCTTGTTATTTAGGTGAAAAGTGGAAACCTCTGGTTCGTATGTGGCCGGAGCCTCCAGTGCGTGAAGTATTTGCTCAATACCTGGAGATCTGAGTTTAACACTTGCTCGCAATATCTTGCAATAAGAAGATATGCCGGTGATGTGAAGGACTTTGTCAGGGCATCAGCAGGCGCCATGGAGTGGCTGACTTGATATTAAATTATAATCACAACTTTTTTTTTCTTTATTTTCTTTGTTTTTGTTAGGACCTAGGCCCCCATTATAAATGCCATACGAATAAATAAATAAAGAGAGCCCGTACACACAATGTTCATTTTTGAGACATTTGTGTTTGAATAATAATGCTGCATTTGTCTGTGCTACATTTGTCAGTTTTTAATTAGACATAACTGATAACAAATAATTTAATCTAAATTCTGACCGCAAAAAATGACTACGTGATCGTATCGAATAGAATTGCAACTTTAGAGTTGCACAAACAAAAGCAACTTTTCTCGTTTAAATAAGTAAGAGAGCATCTTATTTTATTGCGGATTTCCATATACTTTATATTTGAATAGAAGCAATCTGTGATCATACACCAACATCGTGCAAAATATCACTTAATAACACTTAAACGTCACGGATAAAACCGTTTAATAAAAATTTGCACTTTGAAATTTGAAAAATTTAGCGGTTGCAATTGCTCTATTAATTAGCAATTATTTTACTTGACACTATTATACAGATTGCAAAGAGCGAAAATTCGTCCATAATTTTAATTATCATAATAGGTCTATGGTTCGAGTAGTTGTATAATTGATTTAACGGGGATTACCAGTAATAACGATCAGTAATAATGTGCGTTTATTTGAATATAGTTAATTGAAGAGCATGGACTTTATCCTTCGTGAATAACGTTTAAGAGAGCAACTTATATGTGCATTTAATGAGAGTTGATAATTTTAGTTTATTTTATGAATTGAAGTCAACGGTCAAAAGTATTGTCTTTAGAATTTTTTAATAACAATAAATTCATTATCGTATAATATACAATACTAAGACTGTTATATAATTATTGATTATCTACTGTTGAGCGGCGTCCGGATTGCTAGTTGTCGGATGGGTGACTGCATCGAAACCATAACCCCTACCTAAAATTTAAAGAATATTCTTGGAAAATAATAAAAAGCAGAGAACTTTGTTCAACTATCATTTAGGAAATTGAAGACATTATAATAATATATAATGTCAAAAATAATATAATTTATTATAGAACAATGATCTTTTTTCGGAAGAGAATAGAATATATAAATAATGTATAAGAAAAAATGACAATTTGGGGTAAATTTATTTGCAAATTGATGCAATATTTTATACAAACTCAAACGCTCATGTCCTATTATTTTTTCTATTTATGTTTATAATGGGTTAAGGGATCCTTAAATGAGAGATGGCGTTGGATGACCGTCATCTAGCTCTAAATTTTGAACAAATATTTCATTACTTTTTGTAGAGTTTTATTTCATCCCCCGAGTCTCCCTGTTTGTACATCTAAATTAGTTTGACAGAAAGAACAGTAATTTTCAATTTTTAACGGATGTTTACAATTTCACAATCACAGTATCACCAGCAATTCTATTAATACGAATCACTCTATATTTGGTAAATTTATAGTACTATATTATAGTAATTTTTAGAACACGTCGAAATTAATCATGTGATCGGCACACACATAGTTTTTCGCACACGTTTTTTGAATGATTTGGCTACTATACACATGCATTATAAAGATGATCGTTTTTTTGCGACTAACTTTTTTAACGACTTGTGGTTTTTAATACAAAAACGAGATACGATAATTGAGATTATTAATTATATCAATAAAAACCGTGTACCTCGTCCGTATCATAAAGCACTAACCAGACTCCGGGGGTCAGATAATAATATTTTAATACCTACATAATAATAATAATAATGTGTTGAATGTAAATTGTAGACTTAACAATTATCATTATGGATATATCACGATGCTAAACAGCGTGGTGCGGCTCTTTTACATGTCGTGCAAACATCTATAGTGTCAAAGGCTATAATAATAATCATTTTTTTTTTTACACGATAAGATAATATGGTATTTCACTACAAAATTATACGCTATACCTGTATACGGGGAATCCCTTCTCCTTTTGATGTACGTTAATACCGTGGGTAAACGCTTTAATTGCCAATATTTTCTAAAGAAAATTGTTTTAATTTGTTGTCCACAGGTCTTACACAGGATATGTGGATGTTGTTCAGACGGCAATAATCTACAGCTAGTTTCCGCTACATCATTTAAAGTATTCCAAGCTAAACGTAGCACCGAGCGTCAGGCAAAATGCCCAGCAAAATGGTAAGTAAATTAAAGTTTAAACCGGATTCGTTCGCGTTATTATATACCGTCCGTCGGTTAAAACGATTACGGATACGGCTGGGCTCAGATATCGTTTTCCGTAAGTGTGTCCCATATCTTATCCTGTCTTGACGGTTCTGAGAAAAACGGTCCACGGCTACGGTGAGGGCACTGTCTGTACCCTTGGTACTTTTCCACTCGTCTTGAGCTAGTCAGTCGGTACACGGTCTTAGCGAAGTTAACTTAGTTTTGGACGCCCACTTCTACTTGTTTCTAGATCAAAGTTATTTTAGGTAATTATGCGATTTTAGCTTTTTGTTTTGGATAGTTAAAAAAAAAATAACATTAATCGGTCACAACACTCTTGTTTAGAATAAAAAAAATACGCGCAATAGGTATAATACACCGTATTTAAAGCGTTAACTACAGTCTTAGATTTTTCTCGACGTGATCTCATGATTTATATAAATACTTGTAAGTATTATATGTAATTATTACGTGTACAATATACCTAGTCACGCGTATGATACGGTCTAAACGTCGAGGAAGGATCGCGCGCAAATTTGAAGGTACTCAAACGGTCGTTAAACCAATTAATTGTTACGGTTAATAGTAAAACAAATTACATAATTCATTTGGAATATCCGGTCTTCGCCGAGTTCGCAACACAAACAAAACCAAAGCAAATTCGACACATTTTCCATAATATTTCTTTTCTAGAAATAAAAACATAATTTTTATCATAAAATACGTCTAGTTATCGTGAAAAATAAGTCTATAATATATATAGCATTATATAATAAAATTATTATTATTAGGCATAATAACAATTAAATTGGTAGAGATTATGCGTCGTGTTTACTATTGCTTACTGGGTTATTTATAGGGCTTCCTAATCAGATAATATTTATTAGTACAATCAAATCTGCGTTTCGTTTTATCAATAATATGAATTTGTTTCGTGAAAACCAATTCAGAGCAACGCCACGGCATATCAATCGTCTGATATATATTATTTTCCATCTGGGTTAAATCGTTTTCGTTAGCATCTTTTATTTAATTTACAATTACAATTAATTATCGAGAGGTTTTTTTTATTACTTGATAACATGACTGCGTTGAAACTAAATATAATTGGACGTTTTTAATGATCGGCATGGATTCGAATTTCTTAGCGTTGCGGTCAGTCAGATGTGTATTGATCTAGTCAGTACTGAAACGTCGTCTGAACGGTGTACTTAAAAACAATCGTAGCTGTTAGACGACGGTTTGTATTGGACGTTTTCCTTTGATTGTACATAATATATACATATATTTTTTTTTTTGTATATTGTCGAGTTCTTGTTTTCCATCCGTATACGCGCACAACCTTTTATTTTTCGCCAACGTAACGGCCTAAAATCGAAGATCGCACCGAGAACCGATCGAAGAGTATTTACTTAAATATTTTCACTGGAAACTCCTGAAAAAAAACGGCGGTACTTCTTCAAAAAGTCACCAGGTGAGATTGCAATAACAATAACATAACTGTTGGTGTACTTAACGTTTTATGCGTGCCGTCCGATCGTAATTGGGACACGGAAAAACAAATCTGCAACGAATGCGCTTTCTTGTCAACGAGTCTAAAAAAAAAAAAAAAATAATAATAATAATAATAATCTTCGAGCCGCAAGTGTCGTTACAATTCATTTATCACAGCCGGAGCACGTTTTCCGCAATTAGGTATTCCCACTACTCGAGATGCTTTTGTTGTTATTATTTTTTTACCCGCGGAATGTCACTGCTGTGGTAAAACGCCAAAACTATCAACGAGCCCATTCAGTGCTGTAAGTTTTAAACGGGCGCGCGCGAGAACACGGTCGCGAACAGGCGAACTTGAACCGCAGGTAAGTTAGTAGGTATGTACAGGTCCCGGACACAAAAAAAAACTTAACACGGGCAAGATACTTTTCACAATAAACTTTTGTTTTTTTACATTGAAAGTGACCCTTCTGCTTTCATCTATGTACCTACACGGGGACCGTTTTTTATATTTTGTAACGACACGGCAACCCCGTCAGTTGTCGCGCCGTCTACCGAGAATTTGCCTTCTTCTCGTCAACGACGACGACGGCGGCCGTTGTCGATCATCTTAATTCAGGTCGCAAAATCCATTTATAGGATCTAGAAATTATCTTCGCATTCCGGTTTGCTGGCGAGTAGTAAATAATAGGTATGATCGCAGTATCCAACGGGCAATTAATCATATTTTTCTCGACGGATCTATTCGATCGGTCGGTCGCCACCTGTACGATTCTCGCGTAGGCCTCCGCAACTCGCGTTTTATTTTTAAAAAAAAATCCACTCCTGTCTGCCGGGCCAAATACTTGACTTGTCAACCGTCCATCGTCTCTATATAAATATAATAATAATAATACACACACATTCGCCGATAGTGTGTCCCTTAGCCGTGGTCAGCCAGCCAAGTCCGCGTACTCGTTTACCGTCTAGACCGCATGATGAAATACTAGCATTTGGTGTCTTCATATTATACACGTGTCTGATACATTTTTTTTTTCTTTTGCTTTGCCTGATTTCAACAGGGTTCCAAGACAGATCTACCGGAGCTCGAGTCGTTCTTGCTGGACGACAAAATGAAAGATTCCGCGTCCAACAAGTAAGTACCCGGACAATGTTGTCTATTTATTACACTTATATTTTCACGGTATTTTGTCTAACAGAACAACGCATTGTGCTAGATAATATATTATTATAGAAAAATAGTAAACACTCAGAACGAATAGGCACCAGTGCTAGTGCTACCGAGCATATTTGGTTTGCTTATTGCGTTTTCTATGCCGACGCATCATTAAACAAACTATTTATTAGACTATATACAACACGAGCAGTGTCATCGATTAGGATTAGATTATAACTTCTAAATGTCAAAATGGTGAATGTAAATAATAGCTATTGCCTATTAGCTACCGTAAAATAAAACGTATTTTAAGGGTATGATAATTTTGTATGGTCGTAGGTATAATCTTATTTAGTGTAATGATAAACTTCTGACCATGACTTTAAAAAATACCTAACTAAAAATAACATGTTGTACGTGCATCTCGTAATCAGTTAGTAAACAATCGCTAAGTTAAGTTTTATTTATAAATTTAAAAAGTAAACTAAAATAGTATATAAGCATGTACACTTAATCTATGCTACTATTAGTTTACACAAAAGCGTATCAAGAAAAATCTACACCACTTATATAATTATACGGTGCTACAAAAAAAAAAAAAACAACTGAATGAACTTTTCAAGTGACCTAATTTATGATACCCATATATTACCGCTCTTTAACATTATTTTTACATCCTAAAATTTTTAATTTACCGTTAACAACCGTCATTCAAAATAGTAGATCTATTAGGATTTGAAAGTTATACCCTAGTTTAAAGTCTATTTATTAATTTACAAAATTTAATATTTGCGAGCTCATATTTTTATAAACAAATTTGTGTAAGAATTAATTTTGTTTTTTGAAATTTTAAACACTAAAAATACAGTCTTTAGATAAGAAATTAGAAACTCAACACTTACTAAAAACATTTGTTTAACTTGCTAATTCTACTTCAACCTCTGGATAAGATTTTTGATAAATACAAAAATATAGACAATTTATCAAAAGAAATCACACCATGGAGTACTTCATTTAAGAACCGTTTACAAAATAATATCAAAATACATTGTGCCATTATAAATTCAATAGGCATCTTTTTCGGATCCGTATCAAATCTAAAATGGTAGCTAAAGAAAGTAGTTGTTCCAAAATTGATAATAGTGATTACATGTTAAAAAACGGTTTGTTTTCAGAAATGTATTGTATTCTTAAAACTAATACGATTTTTTTTTTAAAAAATAATGTTTCATAAAACTCTTTCGTTTTCACGCGACACCGTATATATTTATTGCATCATTTACATATATTATTACTGTGTTATCGGGTTTTCTTTTATTTATTCGATAAGGCTAAGTTTAGATTTTTTACATGGTAATTGATTTGGATATGTAGCGAAAAAATGAGTTAACGCTTTGGCATTGTCTGCATACTTGCAATTAATTAAAATTGTAAAACAAATTAGGTACATTTTACTTTTTAACTAGATAAAAAAAAATGTGATGACTACTGATAGTTGGGTTCAGTTTAATGTACCAGCTCCATAAGCAAGCCAAACGAATGTTTTATTTAAAAAATGCATATCATGTTTAGTAGGTTTTTAATATTTCATTATTTTCATTTTGCCATATTTGTCATTTATTACATACAGCTTACCTTTTTTTTGTCTAACTCGATATAAGAACCAGTTTCAGTAAAATAATTACATGGATTTGTTTGTATATTAGTCTTATTTATTAATCTTCTGATAAAGTTAGTCAATGTGTAAAACCAAATGGAATAAATCTATTTATGGTAAACCATAGATAAGAGGTTTCTAAGATTTACGTTTGTAGTGTCTTTTTGCTGTTATTATAAGCCAGTCTCTTTTACTAATCGTATACACAAATATACAGTAATACAACTAACACTATTATTTTTTTCTTTTGATGAATTTTGATCTTCAATTTTTTCTCTTTATCCCACACAAGTGGCTGATTCTGCTCTATTGTATTTTAACGTTATTTCTAATCTATTTATTGTAATAATTATATTCTATAGTTTTCCAACGAAAAAATATAATGCCAGTACCGATTCCATAACATCTTATGTTATTATAATACAAAATGATATCGCAGAGGTTTGTTGAACTTTATTAGCTATAGCGTGTGCTGCTGTAAATTATAATTTTGGGCCATATTTGATTGGTTCACTTGGTCGATTCGCATGTAAAAAACCGCAAAGAAATGCGAACATTAGTTCTTATATGTAACATGAAATTCAATTTTAATTTAACCGTCTGACCCGGTAGAGTTCAAGTCGCCTCTAGATTAATATATTGCGGTTCCCTCTTTTATTTTTTTTACATAGTTAAAAATTGTATTAAATTATTTTATTATTAACGTCCATTGACGGCGGCGACGGTTATTGATTCAATTAGCTATTCAAATATATATATTTGTGGTATATTGTAGCCTTGAAAGCGGTTACATAGTTTTTTTTTTATTCGGCAAAGGTCAATCGTCATTTGTCAGCGAAACGGAATTCATATCGTCTCGGGGTCCGTTTCCGCCGTTTCGTCTAACCTTAAGCGGCAGTACACAACGACGACCACGTGCTCACTGCGGAAATCGCACGCATTATAGGCTTATAATATTAATATAGTACACTTGGCGTGTAATCCCAATTATATTTATAGCTGTACACGCCACCTATTGCGTTTCAATGCAAAATTGTCACCATTCAAGCTATACCTATACGGCGTACGTAAAATAAAAACACTGCGTATTAGAATGTGTAAAGTACCGTTTTTAACACTACCTTTATGAAAAGTAAAAAAAAAAAAATACACTATTCCAATAGTTTTTTTTTTAAATTGAATTTTCTCATTTTCCTATCGTCTGCAGAACCGTTCTCGATATCATTCGATTTTATTCCAATAAAATACACTGGGCTTTTGATGTGCGGTGGTTTGGTTTTAACATCATTACACTACGCTTTCACGATGTGTATCGATGAATATTATATTGCTGTAATAATGTTTGATTCGGTAGCTGAAGTTTGGTGTGTATTGGCTCCATTGCCTAGTGTTCAATTTTACGGAACTATTAGTATAGGGAATATACTATATTTATTATATAATGAATACCAGCGGTTCTCAACTATAGGGTCGCGACCCAATTTTGGGTCGCCAATAATGTTAAATGGGTCGACAAAAATTTAAAACGTTGATATGATATTTTTATTTTTGAGTCTGGCTACCTGGGAATAGTCGTTAAGTTTTTATTTTTATTCTATTTTAAAATCGTATCATTATTTAAAAAAAAAAAAATTATGTACGATAAAATTATTAAAAGAAATGTTTATTTTTAATAGAATGTAATTAATATTATTGACTTGTTATTAGCATAAGTAATATGAGTAAAAAAAATGAATTAATTAAGAGTACCCAATAGTTATTTTTTATTCTTCCATTAAACATTATTTATAAAAAGGTCGCATGAAAAATTGGGTAAATATCTTGGGTCGCCACTACACAAAGGTTGAGAACCGTTGATCTATACTCAATTATGAATGATACACTATCCATTATGTTTGCCAATAACTTGAGTAATTTTAAATAATCAAACGACTTAGGGTCATTCAGTAAATATAAATTAATAAGTAGGTGAAGTAAAATTACATAACAATTATCAATATTTTTTTTTTATCTCGGACGAATTAGAGAAATTACAATTAGAAAATATGCTGAATGGCATTGTATATCATTCAAATTGCCAATTATCAGGTAAATTATTAGTGTTAATTAAATAACACTTACCAATATCCATATTTGCTTGAAACAAAGGCCAACGACCAATGATATCAACCTTATCGTACTCTGAATGATACAATTAAACATACACATTAATCATTATATTTTAATACATGTGTAGGATATTTTTAAATAATATCCATGTTTTTTCTAGCGGCTCGGAGTAGACATTAAAATTGTATTTTTGGTGTTGTTACAGAAGTAAAAACCAAGAGAAAGGCGACATCAACCGTTTAAATGAAATTGAATATTTCGATCCGTTCTTGGAACGAAACCTGGAACATCCGACCACGTAAGGACGACTGCAAAATTTGACGGAAGAAAATAGTGTGTTAACGTTTCTTATTGCTATTTTTTTTTGTTTTACAGCGACTGTGAAACTTTAACTCACTTACTTAAGGCGTCCCTGGGCACTGGTATTTTGGCCATGCCCCAAGCTTTCCAGAGTACAGGATTGCTGACCGGCGTGTTTGCCACTATATTCGTTTCTGTAGTGTGCACGTTTTGTTCCTACATACTTGTAAGTAAAACTATTTCGACTAAAGCATTATTAAAACAAGACAAATTAGACACTGTATTCTCGTTAAAAACAATATCACCGGTCAATAGTCAAAAGTTTTTTCCCGATACATATTTAATGCGTAATGTAATTCCCTTCCTCCCTCTAAGTATGTTTATTTATAGGCATTCAATATTCAACATTTAAAAATTTAAAATTATTGATACAATCATAGATATTTATATACATACTGCATCATTTACATTTTGGTCTAATATAATTAAATAAAGTATTAAATAAATTAAATTATAAATATAATTTATTAAATATAATTTTAATATTTACCATGACGCGCACAATGTAGATAATCGATTTACAATCTTAAATAATATGATCCGTGTTCGTTGATCGTTAAACTGGGCGTTTAATTTCTAATGTTTTTCTTATTGTGGACTCTGGTGGCATAGAATAACCAAAAATGCCTAATAATTTTAATTAAAATGTCCCCTTCCCCAACTGTTATTACCATATTAATCAACTAGGTAAGTAATTTATGTTCAGATATAAATAATGACAGATCGATAGCAAGTTTTGATTAATTATTTTCAAGTTTAAAGCATTTAGAAATAGTGGGTGGGTGGTGTAGGGCGAGTGAGTAATGAGCGTAACAATAAATAATAATATTACGCTTTACCTCTTACCCCGATTAAATCTAAAAAGCTCTTAACTCGAGAAATAATTACTGAATACCGTTTATCGACCATTCGTCATTTTTAGTATACCATTTTTCGTCACTTGTAATTCAAAAGTTTATATGGTAATATAAAAGAAGGATTTTTTTTTATAAAACTAATTAAAATATCGAGAAAAATGTATGTCAGACAACCCGCAAATAAGAAAAAAAAACACCAGCTACTAAAGGGGGAAATGTATTTTATTTATGCTGGCCACAGTTGTAGTAACACCTAGTCGGGCGAGTTAACGTTGTAATTTATAATAAAGAGGTATGCGAGTCGTTTGGAAATTGTATAAAATTGTTTGTCCGGCTTGAACTTTCAACATTATCCTAAGTGTGCGTTTTTTTTTTGTATTTCTAGGTGAAATGCGCACACATATTGTACAGGCGGACCAAGGTGACGGCCATGAGCTTCGCCGACGTCGCCGAAGTGGCGTTCGCCAACGGGCCCAGTTGGTCGAGGAAGTTCTCTGGTCTAGCCCGGCAAGCGGTGTTGATGTTGTTGTTCGTCACTTACTTCGGCACCTGTTGCGTGTACACCGTGATCATCGCCACCAACTTCCAGCAGGTGGTCACCCATTACAGCGGAACGCAGTACGACATCCGGTATTACATTTCCGTGTTGCTGGTGCCGCTGATACTGCTCAGCTACGTGCCCAACCTCAAGTATTTGGCGCCCGTCTCCATGGTGGCGAACCTGTTCATGGCCTGCGGTCTAGGAATCACTTTCTATTATCTGCTCATCGATGTACCCAACGTGTGGGATCGGCCCCAGGTCGGTTCGCTGGACACTTTTCCGACCTTCTTCAGCATCACCGTTTTCGCCATGGAAGCCATCGGAGTGGTGAGTATCCGCCGAAGTGTTGCCCAAAGAATCCGGTAAATAATAAACGTCTGTGGTTGTTTTGCTTAAAAAAAACAGGTGATGCCGTTGGAGAACAACATGAAGACGCCTAAACACTTTTTGGGACTGTTCGGCGTGCTGAACATTGGTATGGGTGGCGTGACTGTGATATACATATTATTAGGTTTCCTCGGCTACCTCAAATACGGTGAGATAACGGAGGCTAGTATTACTCTCAACTTGCCCACCGGAGACATGTAAGTGACGACAGACAAACGATGGTTTGAAAATTGAATGTTAATTAATGGTTTTACAGAGCCGCCCAATTGGCCAAGATATTCATCAGCTTGGCCGTGTTCTGCACTTACGGTCTACAGTTCTACGTAGTTTTGGAAATCGCATGGAACAGGGTACAGAGCACTTACGAAAAAGCCACCACTTTCCACAATTACATTTTGAGGACTGTCCTAGTCGTGTCATCCGGTAAGTGCTAAGCATCAGTGCAGCTCATTGGAGGTACTCGTTGTATTGAGTTTTTGTGTTAACACTTGCCATTTTATTTCGACAGTTGTCATTGCCGTAGCCGTACCGACCATTGGACCGTTCATTGGGCTTATTGGCGCATTCTGTTTCTCCCTTCTTGGTATTATTGGACCCGTTGTCATCGAGTTCGCCACTTGTTGGGAAAACGTAACTCTGTGGATGAAATTCAGAAACTCTTTGATGATCATAGTCGGTATCTTGGCTCTGGTGTTCGGCACGTCTAGCAGTATATCGGAAATTGCTGCTATGTACCTTCCTGGTAACATAGTAAAAGATGTTCCGCATAATGGAACGTTACCGGTGGCTGCGCTATGATAGTAATAGACAACAATGTCGTTGTTACTGTTATGAAGCTAAGCATTGTGCAAAAGCCATCATTCAGAATTCAGTATTTAAGATGTTTCTTTTTATTTTATAGTTATTGTGCCCTTTTTTTTTTATGAGTATGCATAAAACTAATGTACTAAAAGCAGGTAGGAAAACAAGGGGTATTCGCATACTGAAAAACGATTAATATATAAGTATTAAAAAAATGTGTTTTCTTTTTTCCCTATGTAATAAGTTTGTGTTACAAGACTTATTTAATTATTAATGTACAATTTTTTTAATCTTTATTAAGACTTGATAGCCTCGGAGCGAATTATTTTTGGAAAAATCATTTTTATAAATTCAGATTTATTTTTAAATTACATTATGATATATATATATATATTTTTTATACATAATGAATTATATTGTTTATAATTATTGAATTAATAGTAATAAAAACTTATTTCCTAAGGACTATATAAAAATAATTGTTGATTCTATAACAAATAACTCAATAGGTACTGATTTGGAGTATAATAAAAAAAAACGTGCGATGATTATTGTTGAGGATAGCTTGACGTTTTAAGAGTCTTAATGCGAGTGTCAATACTGTTAAGCGCTTCCAACATTGGAAATAGTTCAGCCATGAGTCCATTGGTGACGCTCACTAAGTCTTCTTCGGTCATGATGAATCCATCTAAACGAGAATAATCAATTAATATTTATAATTTCAATCGGGAGTGTACAAAGAAAATAATTAGTTTTCTAACCCGTATGTTTTTCAATCAGCAGATGACAGTATACACTCAGGATGCTCGTAATGTCATCGTCTTCGGTGCCGGTCGATATGAGTTCACTGGGCCAATGACTTCTGTAAATGTAAAATTGATTGTGTTACATGATGATTAAAATACCGTTTAGTAGTAATTAACTAAATAAAAATAAACCAAACAACTAACTTCATAATATAGAAATTAGTGGGAAACTACAGTGATAGGACTGGTTAGAGAATTGAAATGTCAGTATATAGACTATATCGGTGGTAGGTGGTAAAGAGCACAAGTATCATTGGTGCATTTTTAAAAAATAATTGTAGGAAACAACGTTAGAAAATGTATAATGTTATATTATTATAGCATAATCGACTCACATGTCCTCTAACAACAAAAATTGTTGGTTTCAAATATTTGTATACACAAGGCGACTCATAGGTATGCTGCATTGCTATACAATATTATATCTACGAGATAACTCAATAAATACAAAATTCACCTATGACAATCATGAACATGCCATCGATATTGTCAAACAATTCCTCAGTATAAATTGATTCCGGCATATTTAAGAAAAACGTACATTATAATGTGAAAGTTGATTTGGAATGTATTTTTTTTTTTTTTTTGAACAACCTTTTTCAAAATTGTATAAAACCAATATCGTATCCATAATTTTAAACTCCTATTAATCTATTGAAACTATTAAATCGCATTTCTAAACTCTACATCAACTTATAAGTAATGATGATTCTCATGAAAGAGTGGAAGAGTGTTCTTATTTAACGTGTAATCAATGGTTGTTTGTGAAACTATGGGAAAAGTATTGTACATCAATTCGACCAACTCGAGTCGGTTAATTTTCAAGATGTTTTAGAAATCCAATCTCATCTCTCTATCGAGATTTATATATAATTAATAATCAACAATGCTTTAAATAATGGAGTCCACGAAAATATATACCCTACAGCCGTCGGATAATCCGCGAATGGCTTAAAAATAGAAAAATGACAATATTATGTGGTTCTGACTTGTTTTGCTTGGCGTACGTGAGTGCGTTGGGCCAATCAGATTCTTGTAGTATTTGAGCTAAGCTCTCTTCGGGCGTGGGCGCCAACGGGTGAGTGCCGCTCTCTTCTTTGGCTCGCAACAGTGCCCGCCTGACCGTACTAACTTCGGCCGATAAATCTTGTAACTATCGAAATACCGTTGAAAAAAATCAGTTTTTTTTTTATTATAATAAAGTACGCAAAAACGACGAGTAGGTCAACAACACTTACTTTACTTTCGGTGGACAAATTCGAAAGGGTAGTGTACATTTTGGCCGCGGCTTCCAGGAGCAACAAGAGTTGCAGATGTAGTTTGTACAGAGCTCGGCCCAAGTCCAAAATGGATTCTTCGTTCAAGTAGCCACCGCCGCCACTGCTCGTACTCGAACCTTCCAGAATGCGTTCGCCTAGCTTGCAAACTTTGATCGTGGTACACACCGAAAACAAACACTGCAGCAAGCAACAATATAAAGCATACATTTTATACCATGTAAATGTAACGACTAAAAGGGTTGAAACGAGTCAGAGTTGGCAAAAAACTGGATTGGGCTTTATTATTATTTTTTTTTTTTTAAATCCGGGTTGTTGCCAACTCTGAAACGACATGTACCTCGGACGTCTGGTCTTTGCGGTCGAGCAACGTGTCGATGTGCTCGCGGATTTGTAACATTGAAAACCGCAAGTTTCCTTGGCTTTTCAACGCGGTCGAGGTAAACCACACTAACGGCGGATCGGCGTGTGTGGTCAGCACTATGATGGCCGAGTTCAAGTGGGTCAACAGTTGTCTGCAATTAGCGTGGCTCTGTGTGCAGCAACCGGTGGTGGCCGGGTCCTCTTCCACGTACTCGTTTAGGGTCACGCAAGCTTCGCGAGTAAGCCACACGCATTTTTTGGTTATGTCCTGCAAGTCAAAACGTCAATTACACACCAGACCAAGGAGGCTCATAGACGTGTAACGTTGACTTACTTTGACTACCCTGTGCAAAATGTGAAATATATGCAAAGTGTTTGTCGGGGTTTGTTCTAGCAACGAACGGACGGTCGCCCTCCAACATTCCTCGGTGTCGTCCCTCTGGAAGGACATGAGAGCGTTCAGGTTGGGTGATGCGTTACACGGCGTTAAATCGCCCAGATCGATGCTCGAACCGCTGTAAAAAAAAAAAAAAAAAATAGTTAAACAAGGCGATATACGCGTGCTAAACGCATAAATAAAATGTATAAATAAACTAACGACCGCTGGGTCAAAAACCAATTATAATAAACCATCATCCACGTAAAAGTAGTGGGAAAAATTCTTTGGTCAAAGGGGGTAGGTACATTTTTCTTTAATATTTTTCATGTTCGTCTCAAAAAAAAGTGGGCGTTTCAACTTTTACTGCTTCTTACGGCCGAAGCAATATATTACATACAAACAAAGCTTTCGATACGAAAATAAAACCTAACAAATACAGTATATAAAAAAAAAATAGAAGTGAGTAGGCTTAAACATTAAAAAAAAAAACCTAGTACACTAGTTATTTTGCATTTTTAAGTAAATATTTAATATCCGTCAAAGCGTTTCAATGGTATAATGTTTTAGGGCGGTAAACACGGAATTGATTGCATCTTTTCATGAACAAAAATCAAGATATGGTTATGAACAATTGACAGCTTCGGGTAATAGGAGTGGAGTTTGAACCTCACCGTCCTCCCTCGCAATTATAGCGTTGATTTTCCGACTCTTAGATCAGCTTGGACATGAAAAAAGTACACTTACGACGTGTCGGACCTAGTTATGGAATCCGTGCGGTCGCGGTGCCCGCCGGCATTGGGCATTAGTTGGACGTTGCAAGCAGCTATTTCGTCTAGTGGTGACACCGAGCCCAGTTCGTCGTCGGAAGACTCGTCGTGGGTTTTTTTCACGTTCATCGTTGGCGTTCTTTCGCTAACACTCTCCTCGACTTGGGCGACACCCATGGCGTTAACTGCGCCCAGACCGGCCGCGTCGTTGCCGCCCAGCGGAAGTCTTCGCACGCCCCAATTGAAGTTATCGGTGCTCTCGCCCTGTAATGTGTAAAAAAACCCTAAGCTCAGCGAACCTAAGGCGTTGCGTGGACGATAAGTGTACATACTTCGACGCTCTCGCTTTCGTACTCGAGAAAGTCGAAATCCTTGAACACCGTGCCGAAGTGGTCGGCGTTGTCGTCACGTTCCTTTCTGGAATCGCTGGGAATGGAAATGTCTGGAGCCGAAACTTCTTCCGTACTGCTGGCCATGCTCGAGTGACGTTCGAGCAACTCCGAGCTCTGACTGAATATCACCTGCATTGCGTAACAGCGTTTAGTACACAATCGTTTACACGACAATAATTCCGTTTGATAAAATTAAATTAAAAAAAAAAACCGTGAAAATGATAAAATTTAGGCATAAGCAGCGAGTGAACATATATTGTATAATAATAATACACATTAATGTATTATACTAGAAGTTCATTAAAAGAGCTAAATCATTTGCGAGGCGGTATAAATATCGAGTCAGACATTTGCGTTTTGAACACACCCAATTTTATGGGCGCCGAGTACTGACAGCAAAGTTCTAGCGGCTAGCCGAATCCCAAAGTTTAAAAAATATTTATACATATTTATACATAATAAAAAATGTATTTTGATAAGCACTAAATACAAGGCGGCTTTTTCTACGCTGTTTAAGTTTTCAACTCAATAGTATAACTTTACTCGTGTGTATATTACATACTATAAATTCAGCGTTTACAATACTTGACGTACGCTACAAGTTTTATGATCTCAAACGAGAACGCAGTTATTACACGTTAGAGAATAATCAAGCGTGTCGCAATTTTGAGTATAAAAAAAAAGTTGCTAGATAATCTGAACCAGGAAGAAACTTTTAAAAAACTGTTTATTCCCTTGAGTAATTTTGAAACTCGACGCCCACACACCCTCTGAGTTTGCACACACTTGAATGCAACGGTTTGCGTTTCTTTATCGAATTAATCACTCAAAACAAACAAATCGTATAAAAAACTTATTATTATAAATCGATATTATACAATATTATTATTATTACGTTAGTGAACCGCCAAAGTTTGTCTAACAACCCAACACAAGTATGTGTAAAAACTTTACCTTATTCAGTGTGTTTAAATCGTCCTATTCATACAATAACACACACAATTAATAAAAAAATATAATCGGTAATTTTCAAAATAAATATTTTCTTTCCACACACGGCAATACCGTTGTACACGCTACTTACCGACGGGCTCTTCGGAAGTCCGACTCGTTGTCCGCAAGTCATCAACAGATTGACCAACAGCTCTCGTACTCGACTCTGCAAATCACAAACGTATATTATGATTATTTGTAGGGTTACGATTTTCAGGCCAGCACAATGTTATTGTTGAATACATACCTGACACAACCACGGTCTTTTCCAGCCGGCGACAGTGGAGTCTGATGGCGACAACGAGGTGGATCTCCTCTGAACAAGTGCGTTGTTAGTGTTAACGGATTCCGTGTCAGTGCCAGTGCTCGCGAGTACCTTACGGCCGATTAACGGCGTCTGAGACATGTCAAAAGTAAAGTCCATGGTTCTTCCTATACGAGGAAAAAAATATAAAATAGTGCACTTGAAGTTTCCCCTTTTATTTGGATAGCAGTGTTTATTTTTTTCGGAAAATAGAATATGGTTTCAAAAAAATACATTTTACAAAAATCACAAAAATATAACTGCTTTCAGCGGGCGCAATAAAACACAATACCGTAAAAACAAACAAAACATACAATTTATTGGACAAAAATGTTTTTGCGCTACCACCGCACATTATATAACCGGTGCGGTATATCGCTACGCACTTTTTTTTAAAAGTACCCTTAAATAATTGTTTTGTTTCCGATACTGTTTTAAATAACAACTGAAAAGGTTTAATACAAATATATTAATAACCACCATGGAAATAAAGACCATAGCGTAAAATGCGTTTACTATGAAAGCCTAAAATGGTGTTTGTACATTGCCATCGTGCTTTCAATTGAAAAGTTAATAATTGTATATATTTATGTTTAACCATAAATTATTGGTCAATGGGTGCTCCTTAATATATGCTCCTTAACTTCTACTAATTTATGATGGTACAACGAACCGCTTGCAGCTCACGACCTACAGCATTGATGATGTATGTACGAGTAAGAAGGGTACAGAGAAAAAAATCAGACAAATCGCTTTTTTTTTTAATTTGAGAAAACATTTTTAGCACGTTTAAAAATGCAAAACGTCAACAAAATCGACGTTTTTAAAAAGTTTTTTCCCTGAACCCTTCAAGTATACTAAGAAGGCAATTTTTTTGTTGTTATTACATAACAAATAGCTCTTAAGCTACTATTTGTCCGCAAGGTTGCGTGACTTTGTGTTAACTTTTTTAAAATTTTGTGTTAAAAGTACAATTTTTTTTTACACTATAAAAATAGTGTTTTCATTTACATATTGCTTAGTCATTCAATATTATGCCAAAAAGAGATATCCGACCCAAGGTCAAAAGTTATAAACACATTAGACAGGGATTACCAGGCAGTTCTTTTTTCGTGAACACGTCGATGTCGGCAAACGAGTAATGAGAAGCGGTAGCATGTGAATCCCAGTAGATGTAATGGGTGGACGTGGGCGGTGCGACCAACGAGGAAGACCGGGTCACGACCAACTTCAGTACCTTTAACGCTTCTTTGTAGTTTACGCCCTGGAAGAAACCAACATTTGCATTTTTGTTTTAATCTTGCTTGACTGTGTTATTAAACAATCTTTGTCTATACCTCAATGTATTTGGCGATTACTCTCAACAGGTCGGCGTTGAACGGTTGCGAAGTGGTCGACGACAAGTCTACGTAGTGCAACATGCAATGGATGATGTTTAATACGGGTAACTGAATGATGTATGGGCCTCTTTCCAGTACCTGAATAACACCGTCGGTTTAATAAAAAAAAAAGCCATATAGTCTATTTTTAAAGGCAACTGACCTCGACCAAAAATGCGAGCATGTTGTGACTCAAATGCGAGTAGGCGTCGTACAAGTACTTGACGACGCACTTGGTCCATTGGAAACTTTCTTTGCTGAACGTTCGTCTACTGTATAGCGTCATCACTGTGGCTAGATTCTCCATCTTCTTACTTTTGTTCGTGCACAACTAGAAACAAACGTTGTTTAAAAGTCTCTACGGCGATTTTTAACCATCGGTCCATTACACTTTTTGACAAAGCTCTTTTTTTTGCATATTGACATTAGAGGTTTTGTTTTAGACTTACTTGGGCTATGTTTTCAGCACTCATTATGCACAGTTCGTTGGCGTCTTCGTAGTGCAGCAACATATACGGTAGTAGGGCGACGACGTTCATGGGGAATGCCAAGCTTTCGGACGGGTCGACCACTAACAAGTCGAGCAATGGAGTGAGCTGCGACAAAAGAGGAACAACGTGCTCGTAGGTCAGAGGGTTTGTGCAGCCCTTGAGGAGCAGCGCGTGAACGCCTGGAAACGAAGGCGTACGCAGCTGGATGGCGAGCTTGTCGACTTTGTCCCGGGTGTCGGGCCTGTCCAACGGTAATCTCCTAAGGACGCGGGACAACAACCGACACGCCAGCAGGAACTCGTGTTCGTAGTCGGATTCCAAAAGGGAGACGGCCAGCCAGAAGAGTTGGCCGAGCACGGTGAGCTTGTCGTCTTGCGTAGCCGAGTCGCCCAGAAGCTTCAAGTTTTGTTGGGTAGCATTGCAGTTGATCTTGCGGCCGTCGTCCTTGGTGGACACCACGAACTGCGAATACGGCACGGCTTTGCGCGAGTAATGCGACACCGAGTAACTCGTGCTGCGGAAATGCGACGCCTGGTTGAAACACGAAGGCGGCACGCGACGGTTGATCGGCGCCTTCTGCACAACCGATCGCTTACCCTCCACAATCGGGTTTATGTCTTTGTTGTTCAGATTGGGCGTCGACTTAAATATGTCTCTGGTCATGTCCAGAGGTCTGAAATCTGTTTCCAACGAATCCACCGCCGCTTCGAGAGTCAATAAGAGTTCCGTAACGTACCCCTGGTAGAGAACGACATCAAAGGATATTAATTTAACCCCCTAACTATTATCATTGAACATACTAGTAATAGCAATATAGGGAATTGACAGATTATCTGGATTTTAATGAAAAGTTAAGTAATAAAATGTTTAATTTAGATAAACATTATAAAAAAATATTCACGTTTAGTAACAATAGTTTTATCATTTAACTTGAAAAAACCCAAATAACCCGTCAAATTAGGATATATTAGAAATCACACTCGTGTAAGAACTAATAATACTCAATAGTATTATGTTCGTAAGGTGTATACTGCATACCTGCATATCTTCGCCTTGTTCGGCAACGGTTTCGATTAATCTCGACAGAATTTCCGACAACATTCTCGTAGTGATTGGAACACGAAGAGCTCTGAAAATCTGAAAAATTATCAAGTAAAAAGAACCATTATAATTTGTTAAATTGATTATATCTTAAGTGCAGTCGCTTTTTCCATAAGGTAGTAAAATTATAGGAAATTGTGTATACAGTGCGTCCTCAACTATAAGTACAATGAAACAACGACGTTCGCTAAATTTGTTTAATTTCATCAAATCTTCCGATAAACAAAACAACTGAGTTAATAAAACTTTTTTTTTTTATTTGCCCGTATAGACGTTGGCAGATATGCACTGTCGTTACTTTCTTTTTCTCTTTTTGCCGTATTTTTTAAACATCATTACTGTATAAGGTTGACACTTTTCCAAAAGAAATTGATGAAGAGTCGTTTCATTAACGAAGATACACTACATCTTTTGTTGATCATAACGGGTTACTATTTACCCCAAAGGTCGACAAAGACGCAACAACGCAACAGATTAATAGAGATTTTGGCTAACAGTCAATTTGTGGCAGAATTCCGAGTTCTCACCTGCAATGAACGTCCGGCGTAATGTCTAGACGAGCAAGATAAACCCAACTGGATGGCCGTCTGAGCCCAACGTTCACTAATGAGGGCGTGGGGTAAGAATTCGTGGAAAACTCTGAGAATGTGCTGAAGGAAAACGTCCAGTTGTTCGCCACTGCGGATCGACCACACTTTGGCCGTTATGTCTTCGTAGTGCCAAAGCGGTTGGTCTCCCCTAGAGTAAGTTTGAAAACAAAAAATTATAATACAATAAATCCAGCATGTGTGTCATTCGTCCTAGTAAAAATAAATTCTCATCGTCGACTACCTCGACGCGATGAAGTCGATGAGTGACTTGACTATTTCTTTGATGGTCAAATTAGGCGTCGGCGGGGACAATTGATCCATGCCGAGTACCACCGTAGAGGCATCGTCTTCTGCATATGGACAAATAAAGATTTTAATCAAAACGTCAACGGTCAAGCACGATTTGTACTTACCACAAGGAGACGGCAAAACGACTAGACTAGTGGACTGTGAACAACTGGTGCCCAGCGGTCCTTGCAAATAGCTATCAAACGTTTCGTTGGCTTCTGAAATGAGAAAATGGACAGATAAAAACACAGTGTAAATATATATATTGTGTAATAATGCTCGGCTAGTGACTAAAATCATTTTACCGGTAAAGTTATGTCTCGACACCGGCACCGGCGGAGTGGGAAGTCCTAGTCCCAGACGCATCGTGTTCCTGTTCAACAGAACTTGGGCAATGGTCAATTGGTCCGAGTTGTTGGCCAACACCAGCAATAGATTAAGAAGTAGCTGCTTGCAATGTTGGTGCACTAGCGGACGACTGTGGTCCATACCCAAAAGCGCGATGTGCAACATGAGCGGCATATGAATGGACCAATCCAAATCGAGCGAGTCGGACGGCAAGTCTTTGAGTAACATCACCGCGATGTTGCATCTTAAAATAACAATATATTATGTCAATCGAAAAGAATTGTTTACCGCGAAAATGTATCATAAAAAGGTAAATTAAACCGTTGAGTGTGCCCGTATGGTTAAATCTTGGCGACTAACCGGACGGGGTTTTAATTCGCAAAAGAGTTTATCTAGTGTAGAGAAAAATAATATCTAACGTATTCACTGACGGTTGAATGTCTGCTGAACTTAACACCTTATTATGTCGTCGACCGTTGGTGTTTTCACTTACATATAAATTGAAAATCACCTCTGCTCTCGACGTTTATTCCGACCGGATAGACTGGCCCGTCAAGAGAGTCGACATTCCATCGCTTAGCCGTCCGGAAACGTTTAAATAACAAATGCTGAGCTTGTGTTGAAACTTACGTCAAGTGTTTATCACCAGCGCCGAATCTCAAACGCCTTCGCAGTGTTAGGTGAACGCGTACAATCGTAGTAACACCCAGCTATCACTATGTATATCACACTTCACAACCCACATATAACATATTTGTATTCATCATCAAGTTTAGCGGGTCTTTAAGGCCCAACGCTACCATTGTGAGATGATGGTTTCTAGACGGATTCGCTGTCCGGGACAGGTCGTCAGTCCGTCGCCGGAGAGGGGAATGGCGGTTCCTTTTCACCGGACGATTGCTCGCTCGGCTAACACATTGCCGCCTTACCCACTCGGCCACTCCTCCTATTTATATTTATATTCTATACATGGAATTATAAGGAACGAAAAAAAAAAGCCTTTCCAATAAAAAAAAAAATATTAAATCGAGTAGTTTTTTCATTATTATTTTTAAAGAAAACGGTCGCGGGAGACTAAAATAACAAAAACTTGCCAAAAAGGACAAAATCAATGAATACTAACTAAAAAAAAAACTCTTGGCAAAATAAAAAAGGGTTAAATATTTCCATGGGCGTGAAAGGAAAACAATGTTCCCTTTTTATACGTTATATGGACGATGGGCGTGGTCTTAAAATATTTAATCAAAACGTCAAGTCTCGAAATCAAACTGCGCTAACAAAACAAATAAGGAGTTAGGAATATTTAACGCTACAAAAAGATCCGACATATTAAACGTTTTTAAACGGATTTTATCGACACAATCTAGAACGAGCATGCAATAAATATTACATATAATAAAAGTAACATTTATTATAGAAATAACAATCAACAACTTTGAATTTTAATTAAACCCGTTTAATTGTTGATCGTAATGTGTACCAAAGTTTTTAAAAAAATATAGTTGTTTGTTTTTTTCTAAGAAGTAAAACCGCAATTAAATAATGAATCACATCACCTACATATTTTTTTTATTTTATAATATTTTCGAATACTGTAAACACTTAATGAATACATGTTAAAAACAAATTACTAGTGTTTTGATTTGTTAATGGTTCGTAGATATAATTAATAGAAAAATGGACTTTTTTATGTACTGAAGTTAAAAGTCGACTGATTTTTTATTGAAAAATAATTTTAAGATAAAAAAAAGTTTAAGTTTGTTAAAACGTTTCTGCTCTTATTGAAAAGTGATTTATATACTTATAATAAATCAATTATTTGAAATTTATAAATCAAATTACCTATGGAAACCGCTGCTGGACGGTATGTTAGTGGGCAGGTATTCCTTGAGTGGGGCAAAATATCCACCATATTCGGGCATAGGTAAGGGATGAGGTTGTGGAAAATCCCCGTACGTGGGCGATAGCCGGTCGTAGTTCATCTGCGAAACAATAACATGCCATTAAAATCATCTGATAATAAACCTCTCGTGATATATGGTCGCTCAGATACTTGCAAAAGTCATTGTCAATCATACTTATGAAACATGCGTTTCATCTGCATATTATATCTAATTCGGTGATATTAGATCTAATATTATGATGTAATCAGGGCATAAACAAGGGGGAGGCATAGTTTATTTTGTTTACTATGTAAACTATATAACTCTTGTAAACTATACAATTATATGTAAACTCAATGACTATTGCCTAAATGTATTTGAAGTGAATTTTTTTCTAGCTTCTTATTTTGTTTTTATTTTTCAGATCCGCCCCTATTTGTAATACTTATATGTGCCCTCGTTGTCGACTTCACAAATATATAGAATGCTTGCGTACAAATTTATTTGAAAAATAATTACCTCAGAATCTTCAACGGGACTCTGTACTTCGTTTTGAACGGCCGACTGAGGGGCATCGCCAACAGGCGCACGTGGCCATTTAGTAGCACCACTGGAGCGGTTTTGTGTGAATCTGGAAATTGATTTGTTACCTGCGGAGTCTGTCTTGCACGATCTGGAAACAGTTAAAAAATTGTTAGTACAATATATATATATATTAAATATGAAACCAATAGATTTGATATTAGATAAATCTTTAGCACTCATAGTTCTTTAGAAAATTCAAAAACTAATCTTCTAAGAACTAGGAAAAGTGTTTTTATTTTCAAATTGTTATCAGTTTACAATTAATATCACTAGAAACGCCTTAGCTGGAACTACAGGATGAGACTGTAAAAGGAATTTCCGTTAAAATTGGAAAAGCGCTTTCGTCGCCTATAAATATTCCAGAAGAGACTCCGGGTTTGGAATCCTCGGGGAATAAAACATATACTCCTACTCCACCAGATTCTTAAACAATAGTACTTTTATGGTAATTTTTAAATGGGGTGGTTAAATTTTAGAAACTGCTGGCTTTTAAAGAAAACCCGACATGAATATTTTAACAACTATTATTGTTAAACGATATAACAGCTGGGTGTGTCACTTCATAATTATTTTTTCTTATTCAGGATTAGAGATTACCAAGAGTTATTTTTTAAAATAAGATGGATTATCTGAAAAAAATTAAGGTATAACTATCCGCAAATGCAGAAATGCTTACCTTTATGACAAGCAATATTGTTTATTTAAAATAAGATAGTTTCTTATTAAGTTTTAACTTTACAATAGAAATGTATCAAAAACACAAATTGATTTTTGCTAAATAAATTAATATAAACCAACTGAAGTTGCCGGACATTTAACACTAGAAAGCACTGTTTGATTAGTTCAATCAAACTTTGGATAGTTCGACAACTTTTGGATCGTCTCGAAAATTTACTCTATTCAGTTGAAAATGAAAACTGAATTATTAGGTTGATTTAAATTTGGACCCGTCTGAACGCATTGGTGTACTTATTTTGCATACACGAATTGCCGTATATCATTTAAAAGTAATCCATATCTATAGGCCAGAACACCATTGCTTTATTATACCTACATTCATATTCTAATACAATTAATAACTAAATATATACGTTTAAAGGGTCCATTTTGCATAATGTAATTATAGTGTACCGCTGTGATTAATGCAGCAGTTGAAATGGATACTAGTTGCACATAACCCGTTCAAATTCATTCCCTGTACAAATAAAACCATGGTATTCGATAAGTTATTATCCTTTCATCAATAATAAAAATCGGGCTAAAACCATTGTATTGTTACTAATGTTGTTGCTATTTAATATTAATTATTTCTCGCGGATTGCGATTAGTTAATGTTATACTTAGATCTATAAAATTCAGATTGATCTGCTCATAATTAATAAACAGCGATTTAGGAGATATTAACGAGACATACGAGCACACCAGGATATGATGAGCTTGCGCCGATTAATAAGAAATAATACAATTTTAGTTTGGCTTCAGTGTAGAATAAGTTGGGTAAATTATAATTGGCTCCAATATTTAATTTATTACATTTATTTGTGTCCTTACTTTGGTAACTTTTTTAGTAACTAAACATGTTTCAGTCTATTCCTACGAATCTCCGTACCACATAACTTTTTAGGATTTAAAAAAAAACATGGCTAATAAAAAAAATAAAAATGATGGATGGATTTTTCATCAGAATAAAACTGATTTCTATGGCATATATACTTTTTTTAAACTAGATATTGTTATTAATTATTATGAATAATATTTTCGTGTCGATGTATACTTTGTACAGTTATTTTTTGTTTTTAACTGATATTTTTCAGCTTTTACATGATCTATAATCGAAGTCCGCACTCATCACTGGAATTATACTGACTACTTCGTTTGTTTTTCGATTATTCGAGAATTTTTTTTTTTTTAATAAAGTTGCTTTTAAACTATGATCAAAGGTATTTCCAATCGTTTTTTGCCTTTCATCATTAAGTGTAATGAGATTTCGTACTCTTACACTTGCAACTTGTCTTGTGTTCTGATACTAATATTTATTTTCCCTCTGTAAATTAATTTAGCTAAACAGATTTTGATTCATACAATTTTTTTAATCTTCCAAGAATCTAATTCAATACACATAATATTAACAATTAAGCTCTAAGAACCGAGTTCTGTCAATTCTAAGAATACCTGTGTACATGTAGACGGATATTCTACGAAAAACTTTTACAGTAGGAAATTTAATATCTTAAAAGGAAAAGTATACGACAAAAATAAATCTACGTACACAAACTTTAAAATACATTTCTTATTAATTTAGATACCAATTCGAACCCTTAACACACTATTAGTGTAGATAAATAAAACGTACATATAATTATATAAGTAGCAATATGTTATGATAATAATGCGAAATAAAATAATACTCTTTTTTTTTTTTTTTGGTATAATATTTGTGTTATAATAATAAATTCAAATTGCAATACTCCGAACATGTTTTACACAAACATCAGAGAAATACATACAACCATGAGTGTTTGATCCTTTTAAATGTATTGATAAATTCAAATGATTATTCATGTATAAAATACAGCTAAACTCATCGTTGAGCTAAAGAGGCTTTCGTTTAGTTTAATTAACGTATTCAATGCTTTAAAGGTCTTAACATTGATGATTTGATTACATCAAACGGTGTTTTTTTTTTAATAAAAAAATTTAAATTAAAACATTTTCACTAAAATTAGTTTATTCTTTTATAACACGTATTTAAACTTTATATTATAGATATAGCGTGTTTATTTAAAATTATGTAATTATGAAAAACAAATTTTCGGAAAGCTTTGTTTTGCATAGTGTAATTAATTTTCCTTTCAATACATTTTTGTTAAAATATCTAAATATCGATCGAATAATTATCGTTAAAAATGTTTTATTTAAATTAAACCACTGATTGGTATTAAAAATATAGTACCTAATTTATTTTAACATAAAAAAGATTGTAATTTGGGAGACGACGCGGCCACTCCGCTAGTTCAATTTAGGGTAAAACGTCATTTAAGTTTAATGGCTTTTTTTTTTTTAGGGATATGCCTCTTTAGTTAATAAATCTTCCTTTGGATAATACACTTGTCCACCTACTTTCCCGAGAAGTTCATTGGACCAATTGGAAACAAATTTTATGTTGAATCGAGCCAATAATTAACACAAAAAATTACCGTTTACCCGAAAATATACGCTGGATTATACACATTTAATTTTTTTATAATAAATAATTTTAGCAAAAGCTTAAACCGATTTTTTTACATACTACTTATAGTTGGTATATTTATTTTGGAAGTCGATGATGGTATTCGATGGCTAAAAATTAACAATTATCATACGGTTGGTTCCAAAATGTTGTAAAGTATAATCTCATCAATATCAAGTGAGTATATCAAGTTTTAGTCAGTGGATATTTAAAATAATATACATAATGAGCTAAATTGGGTTGAATGGCCGTTGCTACAAGCTTGTTAACTTAATAACTCTTATTCCGAAAATTAGAATTAGATAATATTCTGTCTGAACTCCTGGGACCGGAATGTTCATATTTATGTCATGCGCTACTATCGTGGCCGAATACTAAACGATATATAATGACTCAAAATTGAAATTAATTGTTTAATTACATTATAAAATAGTATTGTAGTATATATTTAATTATGTACAATTAACTTAAGATTATTATGTATTTAACCGCTACACCATATCGGACACACTGTTTACATGAACATAATCACATTAATAATAATCATAGTAGAATAAATGTAATCCAAATCCTATGCATTCAACATAGTGACTTTTACAATAGAATAAATACAAAACTAAACGTATCCCTTAACGCGAATGACTCGACCGGGTTTATTGGAGTCAACAACTTTTAACTAGGTTTTGTCATAAAACGTCACCGATTTCAAAATAGTTCTGTTTTATTAGTCCCTGAGTGATTTAATCACGGGAGAAGACGCTCAACTGTGAGACATAGGTAATTGTACAGGTCTCCGAACTTATTATTTCCTAACTATATTACTTCTTTATACGGGACTCGACAAAAAATACTGAAACGAAACGAATTCCCATTAAGTATCTACAGACACGATATTTATAAACGGTAATTTCGATTTTATAAATATATGTGTGTGTACAAAGATAAAGACTATATTGTTTGTAGTATGATCTACGCAAAGTAAACTTTCCAAAATTCTCCGAAGAGTAGCGTAATGGTTTCGAGCATATAAAGGCTTAGTAAATGTTTTGAGAGTACATATTTTGCATTAACCAGCATTTGGGTTAAGTTCAAACATACGGTTGTAAAAAACATCAATTCGGGTAAAAAAAATAAAAACTTTTTTGCAGTGCCCGATGAACGCCTTTAACGAGAATTTTCCTGGCTGTGAACCGCAACAAAGTTGAGTCTAAAAACTTGGCTCGCAAGCTATGAAAAACTCTATCAGCATAAATAATAAAACCAACTTATACTATAAACAATTTACCAGCCTACACACATCCTATTTATTAATGACTTATTTAAAGTCAATTTTTCAGAAACAATTAATTTAATTCTAAACCTACTGTAAGTAAATTCTGGGTAACGTTAACTGTTCCATACATTTTTTAAAAATTGTTCGAATTTAAAATTGATTGAAAAATCCAATTACTTTACAAGACGTCACTATTTTCATTTTCCTCCGTAATATTTATTTCTGAAATAAGAAATTAAGGGTTTCGTGTGAAAAATTATAAGTAAGTGAATCGTCATGTAGTGTAATTAGCGTGTTCTGTAACTCAACGACCAAAATTTTACTAGTTTTTAAAAATATTTTGCCGAAAATAGGATTTAATTTTATCGGTTCTATCATTTGGTATAGCACAGTAACCAAAGTCCACTTGATCCGATCATAGGATTAATGCTTTTTCATGTTGATATTATATTTACATTTGTCAATGAGTTGGGACAGCTGTCCTACAACGTTTTTGATAATCCCGACTAATTGACGATAAAAAAAATTGGTTAGAAAATATTAACTAAGCACAATGTTGAGCAATTACAACAGAAAAAATGAATCACTGACATTGAAGTTTTACCGAGACAATAAATTCACACACCTAAGGTTCAAACGCCTTTACAATTAGTTTTAATAAATTGAAACGTATAAAGCTTAGAACACATAATATAAAGCTGCGTCCCCTCATAACTATTAGTTTACTTCGCGTGCTTTAATTTAACCTATCTAGGCTGTCTAAGGTAACAAATCAAGCGTTTGTAGGGAACAGAAGGGTAATCCCAGTACAGATAATTGCTTTTAGGATTGTGATATGTGGGAAATGGAGTGGCAATTAGAATACATCGGTTAGAACAATTAATTACTAATGCGAATATCAAGTAAAATAATTATTTTAAGAAACAAAATTTAATAAAATAAAATATGCATTATTTAAGATATTACTATTTACTAGTCAATTTACATTGTATTACTATTTATTTTATGTTCAGTTCAATGATACTACGTGTCATTTTTTACAACGCAATTAACTGAAAGAAAGCATCGATAAAAAAACATTTCACTGAAAAGACCAATATCTTCTCAGCTTAGTGTGGGTACTAAAGTTCAAACTTCAAATTTCACAATTTCGAATTACTAGATTTATAGTTGTAAGACGTTACAAGAATTTTTAATGGTCATACCACCCTGGCATTTTATGGTTTTATACATTTTATAAATAACTTATTACATAAAACAAAAAAATTGGTTTTACAGATATTATACGTGTTAAATCGGTTGATTACTTGACGGTGTTAGTGACGATAAATTTTGTTTGAGTTAAATTCGATTTTTTATGATTTAATTACAGCTAATTGACATTTAGATCATTGTATTCTCCTTATCCTTGTAAATTAATTACTCGGCTTAAAGTCAGACGTCAGTTATTAAGGAGTGGATCTATATAGTACCATTAATCAAATAATGAACTCAATTATTATCAATTACCGTTAATAACATAATATGCATCATACACACAAATAGATTTGAGATTAATATCGCTTTCTATTCATACAAGGACGAATTGCCATTTAATCATCAAAGCATTTCACCGAAGTCGAAATTATTACTAGTGTACGCAGGTGTATACATTATACACGTTCAAAGGAAGGGTAGCATACGCAGACATAACTGCCAGCCTCGCGGGAACGTTGTCACGTTCACGGATTAAGGAGAGTAGGCATTATGTACCGTGTTAGCGAAATCTGCATATTTTGTAAAACCCTTTTCCTCAATTCTATGCAAATGAAGAAGTCTGATTTTAGTTTCACAGATTGCAGCTATTTGAGTGCGAATATGAAATAAATAGAAGAATAGAATATATTATTATGTTTAGAATCGTGTATACAGAGAAGTTCCTATTTATAAAGGTTCGCTGAATATTCAACAGAATCGCATTATCACAGAGAATAGACATTTGGGTTAACCACACAAAATTATACATTTCAATAGCCGTAACAAATCGAAAATATTTAATTTATTGTCAATTTGGTTGGGCTATTGGAGAGATGCAAATATATTTGACCTTGTCAAATAACTAACAAAAGAAAAATTCAACTTAGTAAAATAATATAGAAATCAAGTAGGTCCCCTTCAGAATTTAGATATTAAAACAAAACGATATCATCAGAAAGGCGGCTTAAGGGCTTTTAAAGAAAGTTAAGGTATCCAAGGTGGTCTTTACTGAGACGGACTATCCAGTATCCAAATTAAATAAACTGGCAAGAGTACAATCCCATGGAGAAAGGGTAAAATTAATTAGGGAAAGTGTTTTCAAACAATTCGTTTGCAGAAAATTTGTGTACACCTAGGAGACGGTCCGTGATTGTTGACGGTTCCCAATGAGTAGATTCTATAAGAAAATGCACGAGAGAGCAGTAAAGAACGTGGCTAGTTAGTATAGAAAGCGTATTAAGTAGCTAACTAAAAATACAAAAAATACACTGTGAAAAATACTATTTTAAACAGCTAATTTGCACTTTTCTAAATATTATGTAATCTTGGAAAATATGTAAATCATAAATCGATTGCGAGTACATTTTTACTCATTTTAAATGTTTTTGTTTTTATTTTGCTTTTTGTCAAAAAAAAAATACAACACTACCATCTACCCTTTTTTTAAATAAAAAATAACAAAAAAAAATAATAAAGGTTTTTGTGACTGATATTAATTATATTTTTTCGGAAGACCTTTGTGAGTTTTATCTAAAACCATTTCAGAAACATTTACTCGGAAAATCACTCGAGCACACAATTAGAGTGCATTCACCGGCTTATTGCGCTATAAACGAAGAATTGAAAGTAATTTTTGATCAAATAGGCGTGCCAGTGCCAAAATAAAGCTTTCTATAGGACAACAAAAAAATAGACATTAGGGTTCACAAAGTTCGTTTGTCGTACGTTAACTCTTTCTTCGTCTTATTTTTCTTAACGTTTATAGTAAATTTAATCATTAGTATAGACCAATACTATTGGGAGTATAATAGTATAAAATAAAAAGTTATTATTGTTAATTAAATATCCATCTACCTATTTATAATTGAGAATTACCATTAAAATAAAACAAACATTTTATGCATAAGTTGTTTGTTAGGGGATGATTTTTTAAGTAGTATTTTAAATTTAAATCGTTTTAATATAAATTCAAATTTAATACTACAGTTGACATATTTTTACAAGTTTACAATTTGTATTCCTATCGTAATATTATTAACATTTGAATTGCATATTTCATTTTTTATTTGATATTATTCATAAATAATATTTTAAAAAAATACACCCAAGTTTAATTTACAAATTACTTATGATGGAAATTAGTATGATATTTTGTTCTACAACGCTTTTATAAAACTAGCGTTTGTTGTATTAAACATTTCTTAAGAAGATTTTTTTACATAAAGTACACAATGGCACTTTTATCTCCTGACCCATTTTCTCCTTCTCTTCTATAAACAACTTATTTACATTATAATATGCTATTAAATTGTAATACCACAGTTAATTTAAACTAAATCTTATTCTTGTGGGCCAATAATATTTTATAATTGTTTTTTAAAAATCTATTATATAAATTTGACACATTTATGGTTTTGGAGTAATTGAAATTACGAATTATGTTACTTGAACAATACACGTAATAGTATTAAATAAATGTCACTGAATTCCCGCAAAATGTTAATCCATATACTCTCTCATTGTTCCTTTTTCAATTAATCTTCACTTGTTATTACATTTTTCTTTTAAACTGACTTTTCTCTTATCGTTGTTTCACACAGCCAAAACGGAAAAAAAATGTAATATTTTTTTACGTTTTATATTTATTTAAAATATTCAGCGAATTTAAAAACAGGCGATTTTCGAAGCCGCTAAAGATTTTTTTCCAAACTGACTTTTTTTGGTCTGAAGATATATCGGCCATGAGGGATATCGACTTTTAATATTAAAATGGCAATCTCTATATTTTTAAAAATATTCTGTTTGCTAATAGTTAAAAAACGAGTATAACAGTAACATATAGAATCTTGTTTTGCATGATGCATTTAAAAACTACTCATAATTGCATTTTGAGTTGAAGGTAATGACGTGTGTAAATACAACTAATAAAAGTCTACATTAAAAAAACAGTTTAATAGGGGATGCGAAGATCTAATTTTTAGTGTTTAAAAAAATGGCTATCCAAGGTTACCGTTTTTTTTATACAAAAACTATTTGTGAACATCTATAAAAAAATCAAATGATACACGATGGCATTCAACCGTGATGACTATAAAATAGTTTCGCCGCCAATCCGAACGCAATATTTTGCACTAAAACTCGACTATTCCGTCGATCGTTATTTACATAGTTCTTTAAGATTATAATATCGTTTGTGGGATGCTGTGAAGTTCGACTACGGCCACAGCCACATTTTATGAGAAAGGTCTTATTTGGATATTTCGATCAATGTAACTTTCACCAACACCACAGGCAAATGCAGACAGACCACAACGTTTATACCAACGGATGCGGTGTCCCGACCCGTATTAGAGGTCCTTAGAGACTATCAGTTATCTGTAGTCTGTACCAGTATTCAGTGGCCGGGACATCAAAACGTCCGGCCAGAGCAAAAGTCAAGCACGTAGACTTTTATGGACTTGCCTTTTTATTATCTTTCGTACGCACTACCGTGACCAAAAAGCGGCCTGGTTCTTATTTAAGCGACTTAAGCTAGCGGTTGAACATTGTTTGTAACACCATTTTCGACGTTATAAAACATTATGTAACAAAAAAACGTATTTCGGCAACTCGAATTGCATTAGTTTGAATTTCCATATTTGTTGTTAAACGTTCTCGGCAATGAGTTCTGGACCAAAATGTTTGTAATTTTAACATCGTCAAAAAACGACTTTCTTAGTAAAACTCAATTACGTTTTGATAAAAGCGCTTTAATAAATTGTTGGACGGTATAGTCATAATCCTCATAAATGTTTTGAATAAATATATTTATACCGTCAAATTTTAATAAAAACCATATTTCAATTTCCATTCTAGTCACATTTGCGCATTTCGTTTTAGGTCTTTATTTTTTAAAACTCTCGTGGTTTATCGTTATTTAAGCGGTGAACATTTTATCTTTGTGTAACAGCGTCGTCAAAATATAGTATGATCCAAAAGCTAGTTTAAAAAAAAAAAATGCCACTCATACCTTTTTGGTACCCGCTGCTTCAATTGTGAAACTATTTAAATACTCAAATTAAATATCTGTTCAATGAGAGTATCTACACGTGTCGAGTACCTATACAATAGTCAATATGGTCATGTAAATAGTATCTACACGGTGTACAATTTGACGTTTATACGTAGAAGTGCTAATATAATTATTATGTAAAACACAAACTCACCCGCCGTTTATCTTGGATGGATCATCACCGCTGTGCCGTTTGGTGTGTATCATGCCGGCAGAAGCATGAGACACCGTGTGTTCGGTCTCATTCTCGTTCACGTTGGTGGTGGATGCCGTGTCGGACAAACATCCGCCGTTGGAGTTGGCGGTCGGGTTGCTGGTACAAGTCGGACCAACTCCCATGCCAGAAGTCTTTCTCATGCTAGTTAAACGGTAGAAAGGCGGCGTTTCTGTGCGTTCGATAAGACAATTTAGGGTTTCCACAGTTTGCAATTCGGTCATCATCTCGTCGAGTAATCTGTCTGGCCTGGACCGAGCCAAATATAACGTCACACGTTTTGCCTGCAACCGATTATTACGGGAAATTCGTTTTTTTCAAACGTATTTGTATGCATATTATTACATTCGACTTCATTCAAAGTCGAGTAAAAATATAAGAGGATTAATGCCTGGTCTAGCCGAACATCATGAAGTATTTTCAATCTGCCGAATGCGCCATTTAGTGAACGATTAGAAATCCACAAGGAAGATGGTGTTTTTCTTTTTGTAAAAATATGGATTTATAGTTTATATCATGACTGTTTTTTTTTGTAAATATTTGACCAATCTAAATTTACGCATTCCATACTATTCTCGAAAATAATTAGAATATAATTAAAATAATACTCAATTATATTAAGATATAATAATAACGTTCATTAATTAAGTAAGTATTTTTTTTTTGTCTATACTTCAAATCAATTAAAATTGTGATTGAAACCCCTATGCAATTTTGATTTTTTTTCAAATCGATCAAAGAAACCGTGAGATTGTTAAAGGCAAAAACTTTTCTAATCACATACAGTCACTTACTAGGTAGATATTAAAATGTAATCTAACTGAAATACGTACTTTACGTGTCACAGCGGTTGTGTTAACGTCAAGTGAACAGTAGCCATATGTTATAGTATTTTAATGGTTTAATCAAAACGGATTTACCGGTCAGGGTATACAAAGTAATGCGAGGTTTGTGTTTACTATTTTTCTCTTTGGTAACTTCGTACCATTGATCCTATTTTAAACCCATAAGAAGATAATATCTCATACAACGGCATGAAAAGATCGCGCCGAGATAATATTTCTGAGAAACATTTAAGTCTCGAGAAAAATGTAATTTGTAGCGATTTTCACTTGGAAAAATAAAAATAAATGATTTCATCTAAAATTACTAAATGAAATATTATTACTTTTAATTGAAAATCAAGAATAACCGTCAGTAAATTTCACTATACTTACACTAAAATAAAAAGGCAATTTTTTTATATAACTAATTTAGGGAGAGATGGGATAATTGTTATCAAATAAGGCTCAATACATTTTTACCTTAGTAATTTTGTTTAATAGAAATATTCACGGCATTTAATTTTAATTGACAATTTGTAATCATGTCATGAGATATGATTGCATTAAAAATTTAATAAAACCCAAAAATGTTATTTTTTTTCTATAAAACTAAAAATACAGAGTGAAAATATAAATTAATCAAAATATTTTACTACACTATACTGGAGTTAAATATAATAAATGAACAAATTATTCGAAGACCCATAAAAAACTTAATATAAGTTAAAAAGAGAGAGAGAGGAAAGAACTCAATTTAACTAGTAAAATTTAATGAAGTTGAGAAAAACTTTAACCCTAAGACCAATCATTGTGGAATGACTATGAATTTTATAGATAGTTTTTTTTTAAATCGTGACAACGTTGTTTAATGGTATTTTGTTGAGAAAATACATTGATCGTATTAGCGGTCAATGAAGAGAAAATGTACCGTTAAAGTAAATGAGTAAATCACTTATAGCACCTATGGGATTCGAATGACAACTAATTTTGAAGTGCAAAAAATACCCCCAGTGGTGTAAATAATACTGGGAAAACGGGATAACGTTGTACGTGATTTATAGGATTGCCCACTGCTAAAGATGACCGAATTACAAAGATATCATGCGAATTTACGCATAGCATACAATTGAATTGCTATTCCGGTAAACATAAAGTCACGGCGATAATAATATTTGCATGACAACAGCCGCCTTTGCACATGGATCGAGAAATATGAAGGCACGTGTTTATCTCTACTGAAGAAATATTTGTATGTTATATTAAACGCATAAACTTTGGTTTTAAATATATATATATATTTGTTTTTATAGTCGTAACACTTACATATGGTAGGAGTTCGTGGGGAGCCATACCGCTCATAATAACCAAATACCGGATAATGACTTTTAAATTGTTCGGCCAGCACAAGCACAAAGTAGCCCAGACGTCCTCAATATCCTTGGGATGTTCATCGGCAAACTGTAAAAACGATAAAAACTATTAGGTAACCGAAAGATAAAACATTAATAAACCCCAGCTTTTGCAATTAATTCCTATTAGTTCCTATCCCTAAAAATCATTAGAAGATTTAATCACCAATCAACGGCTTTTGTCGACTTTAAGCCCTTTTTAAATTAATGTGACACGTGTTTCAACTGTAGTACCTAATTGCTAGAATTCGTTTACATCGAGTTTACAACCTATACTCATTATAAACACAAACATCAAACTTCGAGACACTCGTTATTTTGTAGTAAGATACAATTAATCTTTTTAAGTAAAATATACACAACATAGAACATGTCTTTTTTGGGGAGATAATATTATTATTATATCGATTTACATATTTGGAAACGTTCAATTTTGTATAGCGACACAACGACACCGATAATAATACATGGCTACCGCCGTCGCGTCGTATGCCATTGTACACTTAACTAAGATGTTATAATTTATAACAATCTGTCATCCAAAGCTATTTACTTTAATCCCATCAATTCTCCATCCCTGATTTCATCGTACCGTGTCTCGTGAGGACAGAATCATCGAAAGTGCTTTGTCGCACATATTTCTCTACTGTATTCTGTTGCTGAAGCATATGTGATACATCGTACAGCACTCTCGCGGTATTATAAAGCCCATTCGGTACGTTTATGAAAATTAACCAACCAAATGCACCAACTCGAGTGCCAGGAGCCCAAATATGTGTTTATAACGTAGTTACCTTGGCCGTGATATAAAATAAATTGTTCAGCACCATTTCGGTAGCTTCAACAGATCCCCAGCCCTCACGACGACAAGAACTCGCTTGACCTCCTTCTGTCGGATAATACTGTAACATATAACAACGACAAAATGATTAAATTTTTTTTGTAAAAAATGTATAACACGGTCAGTTGACTTTCCAGGTCACAAATAGTAATCTAAAAACATATCTATAATTCAAAAATGTATATTTGAGACGATTCGAGAACAAGTTCCTCTGGGAATTCTTTACAGGATAAATCATAATATATTTGTGTTCGAATATTTAAAGGAGCACAAAACACAAAAAATAAGTTTTTTAAAATTTTAAAGGACGTTTAATTCTAAGAAAAATGTTAAAGGTTTGACGTTCCTACTCACAATATTCAATGAGTTATGGAACATTGAAAAACGACGCGTGACGTCATTGGGCCGAGTTCAATATGTAAATAATGCTCAATAATCAATATGAGCTCTATGTGTAAATGAAATATCAAAAATAAAATGTATAGGTTAGTAAATCATTGAGTAAAGCGAGCTACTTTACACGTGTAAGATATGCAGTTATGGCGAGCTCAGCCCAATGACGTCACCCGGCTATTCTAAATATCCTAATATCTCCTTAAATAATATTTTTTTTTGCATCAGATTTTGACCAAATCGTTTTTAATAGTTCTGACTACAATAATTTAAGATTTAATAATAATTTTAAAAAAAAAATGTTTTTTTTGTTGTGTGCTCCTTTAATATTTCACTGTAAACTATTTTCCCTATGACAAACATAAAAATTATCAACATAGTCAGATCTTACTATTTTTAATTAAAAAAATTGTTAATAAAGTAGAGGTGGATGATTAAATAGAAATTCTAATTGCATAGAACATTACTTATATAAAAAAAATAAAGCTTGACAAAATAAGTTATATAGCATAACAATATAATTGAACTGTTATTCATAAAAAACACTGTCTATACTGTCTATATACTTGTTAGTATATAGTATTACGTATAATTTTAATGTTGTTAACTATGCTTAGTTTCAAGCCACACTGCCAAAATAACAACCGTTAATAAATTATAAATGGATCACTTACTTGAAAGTACGACAGAGGATTCGGTGGAGGTACATTCGGATCGACCAACTCCATGTTATGCAGCCAAGGGACCAAATAGTGTAGCAGTAACTGACGGACTTCGGGTCTTGCTGTTTGAAATCTGTATGTGATTTCTGTAACACAGTGTTAATAATGTAATAATGCAGTGGAATCATAACAACTTAGTACTGAATGAGTCAACATTTTCAATAACTCCAAAGAATATATTATCTTTAAATTGTCTACAGTAGGCCTAATATACATGTGAACGTCCAACAAATGGTTGATACTTCAGATTCTGGAATAATTTATAGTAGATTTTCACCACTTGGTCAAGGAAACAAATGAACAAGAACACAAATAACGGTAGGAAACAAACAAAGTGGTCAGTATAGTCACCATGACATAACTTACAGTTATATCATTATAGTCACGGCAGTGGAACGGTGACTATTGCTCCAGAATGGACTCTGCAATGAGTTCAAAACGTCACCAGCAAATCAAAAAAAAGGATACATCCGAAGATTATCGAGTTAACAATACTTCAATCTATGAAAGCTTTCACATATTCATAGCAAACAATTTACATACAATATGACGTATTTTCATTTCACGATAATAGCTTTAGGAAGGTAATGGAAACGTCTCGTACCTATCGGGAATCATACAGAAAGCTGGAAAATTCTTTATATTTTAATATTATTCAGATAGTTGTTGAAGCTAAACGAAAACAACCTAAAAACCGTAGAAAAAGAGTCAAAAGGTGATAAAAAAACGGAAGGGTAGTATTGATTTTTTTTATCGTTAGCAGGCCTATAGTTGATAATGTGGCCTTAATATAATACTTAGATAGTGTCATTCGGAATAGAATACGGAAATGACTATCTTTACCCTAGAATCATTTCAACCGACGTCCCCCAACGTTAGACCGGGTCATAAAAACTATATCGTAGGTCATAAATCAGTGTCACGCTACTAACCGCAAGAGCTTAGGGCCGCGTGACTGCGAAAAACTAAATCAAAAAACTCGTTCTTTCCACTTCCGCCATAGTCGATCATCTTCATAAAACCCGTTTTCAATTCGGTTTACTTATCAGAATTTTCATTATCTCTTTGTTATGGATAGTTAATAAAAACTAGACGTTTAGGTTTTAAATAGTACCGTGACAAATCAACGAAAAGTAATTATTACTTTTAAATAAAACTACAATATAAAATCTATAAGTCCAAATCATTGCTTATAGGTTCTATGTAAACTTAAACATATAAACGACAAACCTCTCATATATCAAGGACTAACAGGCATTATTATTTCTGAAATATTGATAAATTATTTATGGTATATAGTTTTTCATACTATATTAAAGTTAACCTCGACATATAATCAAAACAAATGATAAAAAAAAATGCATTAAAATTAATATTAATTATATTACTAATATAGATACAGACTATACGTGTACTCAACACCACTAGTAGTTAGTATAATAAATAAATAAGCGACAACAGTAATACACAAAGTATAAATCATAAGCAATTTTAGTTTACAACAACATTAAGTTTTAACACATATGTTGGTATAAGTAAAGGCTAAACTCACAAAGCTTAAGTAACGAGTTTGTGACATAAATATAATTATTCTACCGTTTTATGAGATATCTTAACGACGAGTTTGACTCTAAATAAGTTTACATGGCAATTCTCAATCCGTTTAGCAAATATATTTTAAAACCAGGTATAACAATAACGAGTTTCATATGGATTTAGAGTAGATGTTTTGAGAAAAATATCCAAATAAAAAATCGAAAGTTATTAAAATCAGTCAACATTTTAGACAAATTCCAGCTACCCGTTTAACCCATTTTTACACATTAAAAACTAAGTACAAAATATGTAAAACTCGTAATTTAAACCATACTTTTGTTCAACAAATAAATGGTTTTACAAGTATGATAAGTACATTACGGTGTATACAGGGTGTAGAAATTATAAGATACCCTATAATAAAATCAATCATAGAAGTTGTTGTATTTGTTAAAAATAAAAAATTGTCAAGCCGAACCAAGACAAACTATTATTATTATTATTATTCATTAGATAACGGGCCCATAAAAGCCCCAGTTACAGTACTATATACAATTCATACTACTTATAGAAACAATTTAGAAAAAAAAAATTATTGAACAAAAGAAACACACCTAACATAATTGGGGTAGAAATTACCGTAGTTTGTGTGATGCTCGGGACATGGAATAGAAAACCGGAATAAGAGAAACGCAAAGGAGCTGGATAATTAATTTTAGCCAGAAGGTAAAGAGAAGTAATATTACCGCATAGCAGTTTCAGAAAAAAGGTGTTTGTTTTAACACGGTTATCCACAAGTGTACCTAAATTACCAAGGTAACCTTTAATGATAAAATGTATACTTCAGTCACACTTAATAAAAAAAACACATTATTAATTCCGTAAAAGTTTTCAGACTAAGTTTCTGAGGAACAATCTGTGAAACCGTATTTTTTTTTACCTGAAATCATGTTTCTGCAAATTCTTAAGGATATAAAAGAACAACTAACAGTTTTCCAAACTAGACACTCTAATTATTCTGAGAAACTATGGGCAATTAATTATATAGGCTTTAAATTAAAATAATTTATACAAAATTATCCAATTTCATTTTACAGTTTGTTGGTTTTATCGAGGTAAAATTTAATTATATTTTGAACAGCGGCATATTTTAATAATTTTGCGTTAACAATCAAAAATAATATTAATGAGAATTGGTTATTATGTCATAATTTGTTTACTCTTTATTTGAGGACTTGCTGTTCGAAATCTTGGGATTAAAAACGAGTAAACAAGCTACAGGCGTTCAAAACAAAATTGATACAATTCTAACAGTAACAGCATTCTAACTAGTAACATAATTAATATAATTTTAAAGTCATTTATACAAAGTTTATACAAAAAAGAAATAATTAAATACCTTGCTAGTAAGTATGCTATAATAGTAAGAAATTTAAAAACGATAAAATATAAAAAGAATTATTTTACAATGTCCATAAAACTATTTAAACCCAAGATTTTTAAATCCTTACGATTACTACAAAAAAATAATAAAACGGGTTAATATTAAGCTAGTTGTTATAAATATTACAATTATGGAAATATAAGATGATTTCATACAATCATCTTAACGTTAGTGGTTGTTTTTTTAATATTATTTTTGGCGAATTAATCCAAATAATTAGTTATAAAAAAAAAAAAAAAAGAATTAATACAAATAAAGTTGAGAAACTAAACGCAAGATGAAAACTAATAAATAGTTTTCAAATAACACCCTTTTTAGCGGAAAACCACTCAAAAACAATTTCGCTTCTTTCGAACATTAAATACATCAAATGGGTTTTGATAACATTCGCAAATCGAATCCAACAACCTTGTGTATTATGTAGTATAACATAGAATAAAAAGCTGATTCTACAAAACTAATTCTACAAATCGTTTTTATAATGATTTGTTTAGTGATACTAGTATTAAATTGAAAACTCCATGTCCGTGCCAAACTTTTAAATTTATAAGATAAGTAAGATGAATCGTTAGTTTATTTCTTAAAAGTAAAAAAAATAAAAAATAAACCACAATATAAACCCAGTAATAAATTTGAAAATAGTTAAATTACTCCTTAATGTTTTGAAGTGGTTCTATGTATAGTAAGTAGCAAGCATAGTAGAAACTGCAGCATATTTTAAAGCTTTAGAACCGTTATATTTACATTATTCTACTACTGGTGTCCTCGGCTTTACTGCGTACTAACTTTTAAAATAATAATAGATTTCAAGAAAATGAAAAAAAAGGCACGACACAAATCTGTGGATGGCTAGACTTATAATGATTATTATGGTTTTAAAATGTGCCTGTGCCTGGTTTATGATATGTTTAGTTACCTGATATCTACTTTAAAGCATTTGGCAATGATTACTTTCAAATTTCAAACTTATTATTGGTTTTACCATATATTTGAACTATAAATTTACTGTTCACTAGTAAAGTGCAAACTAATAAGTAGAATATTAATAAAAACCCTACTTTAAAAATTAAAAATTAAAATTATCCATATTTTTAACTTTTGCTTGCCTTGAAGTACCTAATGAAGAATTATTAGCAAAACCATAAAAATCCTATATCCACGCTTAAGACCTATGAAATATAGTAACCGTTATGATAACATAAAGGACATAACGAATACATGGTTAAATAGGTTTTAGTCTAAAATTAGGTTGCCAAAAATATGTATTAAGTTGTCTATCAATGTATGGTTTATATATGGTCTTAATTTTTAGACATTTTGTGCAACTAAGATAATAATACAGATACATTAAAACTTAAAACCTATAATATTAAAGAATGTACCGAGAGAACACAGATTGTTGTATTAAGCACCAAGTAGCATGAGTGCTCTTTTTTACACATACAGTAGTAAAAATATAAATCCTGGAATTAAATTAACGTGCTTGCATCAAGGTATTGTTATACGTGTACCCTGTAACTTCTATTTTGTCGGCCACCTACTAGATAGGTACTTAATAATTTAAAAAAACGACAACACTTTTTTATGCTGCCTATGAAGAGTAAAACGTGTTATAATACAATAAACGGTGATACACGGAACACCACATTAAAATTAATTGGATAGCTTGTGAACAAAAATTACACACATCAATAAGTATTACTTAACAAATTACATACCATGTATTCTATTAAGTATAAAAATACAAAAGCCTACCTCACAATATGGGAATCCGGATTCCCAAAAATATAAATCTTAATGTTTTAAGCTTGAAAATATTCAGTATCAATTAATACAAGTTTAACTAGGAATATTGTAAGAAAAAATATGTTATAAAAACAAAAATGAAAGAATAAATAAAAACATTACATTACAATACAAAAAAAAATTGTACGATTGCCTACACTCGCAATTCGGTGATTAAAACATGGTTGTTTTTATAGCATCCGTACGACGTTGTTCTGTTTTCATGAACTCAAATCAATGTAAAAATAAACACACAAACACATTATTTATAGATTTAGTCAAAATATCAGGAAAACTTCTATAAAAAAAATATATTGTACTCAAAATTATATTTTGAACAAATTTAAGTAAAATATTGGAAAAAATGTTTATTGTTTAATGATTATTCTCAAAGAAGGCGTACAGCTTTTTATTGAACTAATAGTTATAATGATTAATTGTAAACGATTTTAGACTAATAGGTGAATCGATTAGAAAATGTGCTGGGCACAGCAATAAATCATTTTTCACAAATTTAACTTTAAAAAAAAAAAATTTTCTCAAGTACATTTATTAAATACTTGTTACAATTATATGAATAAAAAACCTAACGTGTTTTTTTATGCACCAGTATACTTTTTCACGACGATGACAGATTTTTTGGTTAAAAATGAAATTACACTTGTGCACGAATGAATGACACACATATGTCGAATACTCAGTAATACCAAACATACAATACAATCGGGGCTCATGTGTGCATTAGCTGGAACATAATTGACAATACAGAGTCTTTAATAAAAACCGAGCCATTAAAAGTATAATATTATAAAAATCTGTGCATATAATTAAACGAATGATGCTATACACAATGAATTGAGCGTGTTTACTGCCAGAAAGTGGCAAGATATTTTACTTAGCTCAACACAAGAAAGTTCCCCAATTCGATAATTTTATGCTTAAATGATTATTATTTGTAAATGAATTCTATATTAATAGTTCGTACTCGTACTACGCCACGTAAGCACTTATCACAAACTTGTCCTGTAGGCAAATAAATTCAGAATGTTCATTATAAAGTACTATACTGTACAAATAAAACAAACTAAGAATCCAAAATGTTGAGAAAACCAATTAGTATACAAATACCCGCAGTTAACCATAAAATAACTTTATTCTCGCACGATTCTTATACCTCCAAGTTCTTTACGATTTAAAGGTAACAATTATTTACATTTAATCCAAAAGATGTATCAACAATATCGATCAAAATAAACTATAAAATAAATAATCAATCTTACTCGTCCGTCAAAACATTCAATTACCAAAATAGCAAGAAATAATAAATCGTTGGAGGATAGACCACAACTATCTCACTTACGACTACCTATCTATTCAATAATAGGCACTATCAATATGTCCAATATGAGAAACTGCAATTTCTAACGAACACATGCTAACCTACTACATACGAGGTAATATAATGTAAGTAATTAAAAATATAGTATTCATTTCATTATGACAAAAATTTGACGGAAAAATATTCAAAGTAACAAACTAAGAATTTTTATTTTTAGTCATGAAAACCAATGACGTTGCACACATACATATTTCATAGGTAATATAGTGGGTTTTTCTAAAAGTTTACCAATGATGTACGGTAATTAGAAAGCTAACGGTTTGTAAAACTCATTAACGATATAAAGAAACTCGGTGCACATTAATAATAAAATATTAATCTATAAAATAATTTGTGGTAAAAATTAAAAAAGTAAATATATGTACATAGATAATTAATAATTATCGTCTAATCATAAGTTTCGAGTTACAAGTTACAAAAATTATCAATAACGTAACTAAATATTAAGCACAAAATAAAAACAAACATCTGCGGCGCCTCGAAATGAAAGGGAAATATGAAACCATTAAAAATTGTTCACTTAGAAATCCTTTAATTTTTTTAAAGATTAAGACGACGTTGCGTTTTTCCCCAAAAAAATGTTGAACATCTAAGCTCCTTATTATTTACGTTTAATGACTAAACGTTTATACCAGATGGGCACAGATGACATACTTGATCAGACTACTTTAGTTTAATTTTATTAAAACCAAACTTATACATATATTATTATTTCAAACCACACAAATATATGTTTTCAGTAGCGCATCAAAGCTAATAAGTAATAATTTAAGAGGGTGCCAATTAATTATTTTATCAACTCAATAGTTAAATTATTTTTAAAATTTGTATTACTGGTATTCAAGAGTTTTATTGATTTTATAGTACGTATTACAGTATTTTAGTTATGTTTTAAAGTTCGTTTTTGGAAAGAGTTCAAGGCACTTTGTTTTAGTTATGCATTTAATTGGTAAAATGTATACTAAGTAACACCACCAGTAAATAAATATTCTAATAATCTTTAGATGATTGTTTAATAATGATATAATAATACGGAATTTATAAACATTATGTTAAAGATAATGCTCTTAATAATGTTCATTCGATCAGATAACAAAAACTTATTGCAGGAAGCAGCGCCAGCGAAAAACATAACTAAAAGATTAAATTTAATTTACATTAATCCTTTAAAAACAAATTACTTATTGTAAGTTATTTGAAAAATAATTAAATAAATTGTTTCCCGATTACTCTTAAAACTAACTACTCGTATATATCAAAATAAAGATAAATTATGCAAGGATAGTCGATACTGAATTCTACTAGTGAACGACATACTTGAAACTAGGGTAGATTTAAATTGCATTATTATTAATATTAAATTAATATTAACTCACAAAGCCAATGTGTTTAGAAGAACATGTCAATTCCCGTGGCATTCAAAGCTATAAAGGTTGACAGTTTAGACATTCAACAAAATTAAAAACTAGCTATCGTCACAAAATTTGATCAAAATTTTCAACATCAATCACACATGTAAAAAATAAAATACACATTTTTGTAGAAAATATTCTATTTCAATAACAGTGTTTATGTCAAAAAATAAAAACATCTTTATTTATGATGTATTTTAAAGCAGTCATTTCCTTCGGCTTCAACCAAAAACAGAAAAAAGTCGAAGTTTATTTTAATATGTAAGTAAAGAAACACTATCTTTTTACTACAAACTTATTCAAAACAATACTGCGTTTTCAACGTTTCGTATTCTTTATTTACTATGAGGAATAAGCTACTGGCTTGTGGTGTTATATAGTAAATAGTTAATAAAAGCAAATTATTATGTTTGATAAGGCAAAATTTATGAATACAATTACCTGATTGAAACTATATTTAATGTAAATCAGAAATCCTGTCAATCAGTAAATAACGTTCACAATAAATTTGGAAAAAATGATTGGGACTTTCGAGTAAGACTCTCATTTATGAAGGCTTACCTGAAAACATTGGCATCGTCAACTCGGGATGTATTTGTGCAAGCTGTTGAGACAAGTTAAATTGAGATTGACAGAATGTCGAACACAAAAGAACATCTGCTATCTCTGCATTTTTGTCCGTATCGGAGGACGTATCTGCCGATGACTTTTCAACTCGTTCATCACCTAAAACAAAAAAATATAATAATAGATAAGTAAAATGCGAGTGTAACTAAAATTGATAACCAATATATTTTATATTATAGGTCGAATCATTTTTAAATTAAATGAACTCAAATTTCATTTCCAATGAAATAATATACATTTTATATTGGATTATTTGGAATTTTAACAATTTCCTTTCGTACATTTGCACATTGAGTTTGCATCCTTTAACGTCAAATACTTTAAAGTTTAATAACTTTAAAATATTTCAAAAAGCCTGTACAATGAATCACGAAGAAAATGTTTGAACGGAAAGAATCTTTTGTTGACAAACCTTAGAGAACTTAATAACACAAAATAAAATGTCTGGTGATTACCACAATGACAATTACTTGAAAAAAGACATTTGTCATGCGCTCATTTTTTTCTTTTTTTGGGCAGTTTAAATTTAATTTGAGGTATTAAAACGATAGTCTGAAGATGAAAAAAAAAATAATTTCAACATACTGTAGTAGGTTTTAGAAAATGGTCGCAGTAGTAATTAATTATAGAGGTCTGCTTTCATTTTTGTGTTTTTCGAATAAAAATATTATTACTTTTATGGTTTACAAGCGCATTTAATAAAGTATAAAAAATAAAATGTAGCTTATAATTAATGGGGAATATAATGCAAGTATTTATAAAAAAGGTTGAAGTGAAAAGTACCTCATTTTCTTTAGAACATAATTTTAAAAGGATGATACAAGGTAAAGTACAAAGGCACTTCTTTTTTTTATAAAATAAAATAACCTGAATAGAACTTTCAGTGTGATCACAAGGATTTCGCAATTCATGCTATAACTTTTTTGAAAATAAATATTTTTCTTTTCTGTTTTTTTCTAAATATAAAAATTATGTGTCAAAAATAATAAATATATTAAAATACATGCGGAAAAAAGTGCAATAATACATTATCTATGCGCACTAACCCACCGTACTTATCGGTAATAACTCCAAAATTATTTTTTTTAAACTTGTTATGGACCAGTCAACATTTTCAGGAAACCGAACTATCTTTTAAATGGCCATGTTGATTTTTTTTTTTGCAGTTTTAAAAATAAAAAGTTATCTTTTTTACTTCTTTAAAAAAAATTTTTCTAATGCAATGAATTTTTGAAAAAATGACGGAATAGAAAAAGATTTATTTTCACAAAAGTTAAAGCATATTTTGTTGAATCTTCGTGACCCACAAGTATATTCCACCACGCACGACACTGTCGTTTTTTAACACTGAAGTGGTTATCTGTTACCTTAGAAAAATTGAAAAGCCAAAATCTTAAGTCATGATATTATATGTTTGTTTTATAGTAATTAACATTATATAATTTATTAGTGACTTTAGTATATTTAATTTATCATCGTCATGTTATGTCAGTAAAACGCTATCTCAAAGACCATAATTTTACACATCAGACACACCAGCTTGTCAGAAATAAATAATATACATCACACAGATTTTTCACAAAATATACAAGAAGAATGCCTACAAATAAAAATATTCTGGAATAAACAGGCATATTGAAGACATTTAAGGTTTATAATTAAGTATCATTAAGTCATCAAATTATATTATCATACAGAATCAGAATATAGTTTAACGTAAATACCTAATAACAAAGTCCACCAGTACTTATACAATGGATTGTTAATAGAATAGTGTTTATAGACTATAGTAATTTCAATCTATTAGATTTAGCGGAAGAGACCGACAGATCGTAAGAGATAGCTAACATAGAGTATACATGAAGTGATTTACGACCACAATATTAAATACATTGAATTCATTTCTAGTTTTAGACTTGCGAGCGGTTTTAAGTGAATTGATGGTCTGTTATAATAGCCGGAAAGACAGCTTCCGCAACAAGGACACTGCAGACTCGTTCCAACTGTCAGCAGGATTGTAACACGAATAGGTGTGCTCGTATTTAAAAATATACATTTTGGCACCTCATCGAACACGACCATCGCCATTTCTTTCGATTAAACTATATTTTTCAACTTTAGAAGGGATTACAATTTATTGTATAAGAACAACTATATACTCGCCTACGTAAAATACCTTTAAACATAAAAGTTAACGTGAACAAAACCATTTTGTTATAATAATAGAAATATATAGCTGTTGAAAAAGTAATAATGGCTACAACAGGTTGTAAAATACAATTTTGCGAGTAAAAGAGTTAACGAAAAGTTAAGTATGAAAGGTAAGAATTGTTTGTCTATTATTCGAAAAACGAGAGAAATACTTGACTGCGTCAGACGTGTATTGTCTTCATTGGCTTTTGGAACAAAACGCGACAATGGAGAACGGCATGGACCCCAAGTGAATTTCTAAAGCTTCAAAACATGACAAACAATAACGAAAACATTATTGATGTTGTGTTCGATTTATTAGAATTCAATTAGCAACCAACAACGGCGTAGAATGCAGTATTGTTCACGCCGGTCGAAATTATAAACTTAAATTTTCAACCTTAATTAATCGTATTGGACAAATTTGTTATGGACGATAATAGGTAATATTTGTTTCAAAATTTGATATTCTAGTGTGGAAACAACGTACGTAATGGTAATCCTCGTTTGTTTGGTCCGCGTTTTAGCTCTGCTTACATGATTTGGTATCGAGGGGAAAAAATGTCGCAAGTCCAACTATAATCGTAGACGTAAAAATAACTTACAAGTACTTGAACCACATAATAGATGAAAGCAGAAGGGTCATTTCAAATGTAAACAAAAACGTGGCGGCCATGTTCTAAACCTGCTATAATCATAATAAATTATATACAACTAAAAATAATAACGTATAGGTATAATTTATTATGGTTATAGCAGGTTTGGAACATGGCCGCTTCGTTTTTGTGTGATAAGTATCTTCCCCGTGTTCATTTTTATCAGTGTCCGGGGCCTGCTTGAACTATGGGTCACTGCCACTGACAGAAATTATTAACACGCGACCAAACAATAATTTACTCAACTTTTATTTTAGCGTTTTTGAAGGAAAGTCGTGGAATTTACTTTTTGTTTGACTCCGTGCTGGTCATTGCATCGTTTTAAAAACTAATTTATGACTGTCAAATTTTCAAATCCGTTATCGATTAAAACAACCTCCGACGACAGCTTACAACCTACTCACTAGTAGTGATTCTTTTCTCGAACAACAGGGATGACAAAATATGCTCGTTATGTTTCTATCACTCATTAAATTTGATTTGTTCATCTCACACGACCTCGACCACACCGAATACCGTAAATTAATGAAGCCAATTGTTATTTTTCATTAGCTTTCCTACCGAGTTCGAATACATTATTGTTTGTTATATTTTAAGCAATTCAAATACTTTACACGAGGTATGGCTTCGAGTATATCAAACACTCGTTGCCAACGAGGCATTAGCGTTTTTTCTAACTTAGCACCCATAAAAAATAAAGGCCGAATGATAAAAAAACAAGAAAAAAGGTACACCATGTGTTCGTGATAAACTATATACGACACGAATAATATGACCGGCAGCTGTTCGTTCGTTTTTAACTAGGCTTTTTTTTTATTACATACCAAAAAACACCTTAAATGCAACACCGTAGATGATGTGCACCTTTACTTTGGTCACGTGGTACCTGACATAATAATATTTTTTAACTCTGCGAATACAATCGTAAAACAAAAACAACCATGCTGTCTATTTTTTTATTTAATAACTATTACGACCTTTTAAATGGGCGTTGTGATCGTTGGGTAAATACTAATGGTACATAATAGGTTAATGTACCACATCAAACAAAAATAATATCTCAACTAACATACTTTTTGACGCTCGTTACAAAAGTAGCACGTTTCATTTATCACTTATAGATAAAGTACAATTTGACTTGCTACGAAAATTAGCACAATCTAAGCTTTAAATTAACTCACGATAAGTACGATATTTTTTTTATTATTCGCCGTAAACTAATACTACGTTTGAAAGAGTCATCACAAATATAGTAACAAGTATCATAATATACATAAGTGTGATAACAATAGGAAAACCACAAAACATATTAGTTTTCGCGGTAAAAGCGCAATAGTAAGTGCTTACGTCCATTTGTGCAAAGTCGAACGTTTTATTACTTTTCGTGGTATATCCCCAAATAGTAGGTACGTATTACCACTTAAGTAAAGGCTAACGCGACGTTATTAGTAAGACAAATTAAACGTGCTATTTTCCTTGACAGGTGTAGATACAATGCCGACATAGATCAACAATTAAATGATCAGTTATCAAATACTTATATTGTCTACGTTTACTTAATTTTTACTTTATCTTTGTAAATGTTGTACCAAAATTTTTTTTTTTTCATTAGTACGTCTTTTATCGAATAACAAATTCGAATTTTCCATAATTTGTGGTGGCTTCCAAGTAACAAACAACAATTCAAAACGCTATTTACTAGAGTATGATACTTTACATGCATGACATGCACATAACCAATCCGCTTTTGGTTGTATTTTGTAAACAACTTCTATATTATTATATACTATCTGAGGTGGTCATCGATTTAATACTGTCCACCACATATTTTTTAAAGAACGAATTTAGAAAACAATACAGCACAGCTGTACTGAACAGTCTAACTTTCACGATAGTGAAATTTCTAAAGTCAAAATCGTTATTAAGTAATTAAGTTATTATAACTACAAATATACTCGGAACATTATTTTTTAAGTAATTGACGAATGCTTAATAGAATTCCTAAGTTCTTTGGAAATTATTGATTTTATTATTTTTCTCCGAGAGAATCTTAAAACTATATTTTGCAGTATTTTTATTATTTCAAAAGAAAACATTCGCGCAGTCTGCTCATGTTTTCCTCCACTTGGTTATCTTGACTCTTATTCCTTAGAGCAATTTCAATAAACTAACATCGGCCAACATGTTATATTGATACCATTCCCACGCCACATCGTGGATGTCCCTCTCACCACCTTTAATTCAATTATTGGA